CTGCATCCAACGGTGTTAATGTCTAATTTAAACTAATCCACAAAATTGGGTGACACATCCATCATTGTCATTAGTGAGTTACTATCTCACAACGAACCCGATTGAACTTCACTGGTCACTACTGCTTCTCACTAGAACTTCTAATACATAAGGAAAATCTTATTCATCAATTGATTAGTTTTGTTTTGTTTAAAATAAATCCACTTTTGATACAAGTACTTGAATGAGTAAGTATCATTGAAAAACTTCTTTTTGATAATTTTCTTTCTCTTTTTTTTGTTTCTTAGCTTTCCGTACTCATTCTTGTGATTCTATGTGTGTGTGTGTGTGCATAGACCTAATCGAAATTTGTTAGATAGTTGAATGATATTCAGTGAACTAACCAACTAACTGATTGTAATACATTTCATCTTTGGATATTTTTCTTTGTGTGAAAGAGATGAAACCATAAAGATAAATGAATGTTAGGATCATGATGATGAACAAAAAATAAAGAAGAAATAAAAGGATAAACAATCAAATGAGCGCCTCTGTGTGTTTATTGACATGCATATTATTCAATGTACAATTATGTATATTGAACATTGACAATGATGATATGTATATCTATATAATTAGTTCATATGTAAATTGTACACATTGAGTGTTTACTCACTGAGATAAATGATAAACGAATAATTGAAAGACAATAGATGTTAACTTAGAATAATAATAATAATAAGTAAATAAGTAGTATATTGTTTGACCTAGAAAGAAAAGCAGAATAATAACAGAAAGGGGGTTTTGTGGAGATTGTAGTAATTTAATAGTTAAATTCATTGATCAATTAAAACTAAATCACTATGGAAAACCTAAAAGAACTGTAGTGGCTATTTCGTTCTAGTATGGAACTCGTGAACAGTGCATATCTGTGATTCGAAATAAGGACCTCAGGTCTTGCGCACAAACGCTTAACCTTCAAACCAATGAGCCGGCATCCAACAGTATTAATGGCTAACAACAACCAATCCACGAAATTGAGTCACCATCCAACTGGGTTTGAATCCTGTGAGCAAGATCGTGAATGAGGACTGCAGAGGAGTCCCATATTAGGACGAAATGGCCGACAAGTGCATCTAGGTTTTCCATGGTGGTTTAGCTTCACTCCTATTTCGAATCCATATATTTCAACATCTAATCAAATGAATACTTGTTGCTATGTAATTGTCATAATATTTCATGAACTTCATTTTAATGTCCATTTTACTGCTGATCCTTTCAACTAACTCGTAAATGGAAACATTAATTCAAGCCTATTTTATTCACACTGGAATAATAAGTACGCTTCTCATTACAATTTCAACATGTAATGTTGAATTAATTTCTGTAGTGACGTAATCGATTTCTTTCTAATCATTGACTCATAAACTAACATTCTTACTTAATTACTTAGGCCTTTTACCGCTCATCTAGGAGTATGAACCGCTCACACGGACTCTTCATCCAACTAAATACTTTCACAGATGTATATCATTACATTATTTTTTTTATTGAGATCATGAAGCGATTGATGTTAGACCACCACAATTGAAAACCTGGAAGCACTGGACGGCCGTTTCGTCCTATTGTGGGACTCCTCAGCAGTGCGCATCCACGATCCCGCTCGCGGGATTCGAACACAGGGCCTTCGGTCTCGCGCGCGAACGCTTAACCAACTGGACCACTGAGCCGGCATCCAATGGTGATAGTTTCTAACATCAACCAATCCACGAAATTGCGCGACCAACTTCCGTTGTACTGAGGTAGATACCTGTCTCTACCCGACAAGGATTAGCTCCACTGGTCACGGCTTCTCACTAGAACTCCGAGAATTCCCTCACGAAGCTAGTCACTAGTGAGCACATGTTGATTACTAGTATAGGGGTCGTGGAGATTATTAAGTTTTTGATTGAGATCATGAACGGATATTATTGTATATCGTTTGAGTGAAACCTGACAAACATTAACTGAGAACAATATTGTTTGCTTATATTGATGTTGTCCTGATTTTAATGGTGACGTTCGAAGTTCCACTGTTAGTTGCCAAACAAACGTGATTAGAAATTGTTGCTATGATTAGTGAAACATACAAAACACACATTCATACATCAAAGTGTAATTCATTAATTATTAATTAATCAATGCAGAGTAATTGTTCATGATTATCAGTGTGATTTGTATGCTAAGTTTATAGTTTTCAATGTATATTATGATGTACAACTAGTTGATATACTGTTAACTATGTTGATAAAAATGTGATCTGATTCAATGAAGATTCAATGTATAATCTGTTTAATGAGATTTCTGTTGTTGTTGCTGTTGTTGTTGTTGTTGTTGTTGTTACACAACATCACAGCATGAGAAATGGACTATGAGTACCGGCTAGATCATATTGAACTATAGAGACTTGTTAGTCTGTAACCGTAACTAGACGTGATAAATCATTCAGAGATCCTCGGTTCTTATTATAATTACAAATTGACCTTGTTATATCCCAATGAGACTAATGAATGATGACTTTTGTGAACTATTTCTGAACCGATAGGATACTTGTTTCTGTTTATTGTATGATTGTTAAATAACTAAACTAACTGCATATTCATGTTCCTCCTTTTATAAGGCTTATTTTGACTTATGGATGATTATGATCCGATTGACTGTTGTTCATTTATGTCCAGTGTATTCATTACAGTCTCCCACATTCACAACCCATTTTTGTCTAGATCTTGTACAAATGTATATTTTGTATTTTGTAGTACGATGTGGTCTGTTTTGTCTAGTGTACATAAACTCAGTATGTTTGAAATAAATAATTCATAAGCTGAGATTGGTGTTGTGGATTGAACAGGCAGTGTTATGCAGGAAGCATGATGGATAATAACTGTAGATTGCTCGTACTTCGTTTGTGCGTCATTGGTCCAGTTGATAAGTCACTGTTAGCGATATCGTTACTTCATATATTGATAGAGTTCTGATAGCCTCTAGTTTGTGTGTAACTGCGTTTGAAGCGAACGGCAGTGCGTTCAAGTCTCGAAGTAAACATCAACTTTGAGATGCAGGTACATCCAATTAATGAGTTCTGAATAGGACGAAATGCACGTCTTAGATTTCGTTGCTAGTCGCTTACCAACTGTGCTTATTAAACAAGTTGTATGTAACGAAATATAGAATCATGTACGTTTGCTATTTTATTATGTTTGTGGTGTTGTATAGGCGAATTTCCCCATATCTGACTCCAACAAATAGTATCTTGTTACTTACCCACTTACTTACTTACGCCTGTTACTACCAATGGAGCATAGGCCGCCGACCACCATTGTCCAACACACTCTGTCCTAAGCCTTCTTTTCAAGTTCCATCCAATTCTTGTTAATTCTTCTCATGTCTATCTCCATCTCCCGACGTAATGTGTACTTTGGTCTTCCTCCCTTACTTTGGCCTTGAGGATTCCATGTGAGGGCTTGTCTTGTGACGAAGTTGGATGCTTCCCTCAATGTATATCCTATCCACTTCCAGAGCTTCTTCCTAATTTCTTCCTCCACTGGGATCTGGTTTGTTCTCTCCCACAGTAGGTGGTTGCTGTTAGTGTCTGTCTGGACAACGGATTTCGAAGTATTTTGCTTAGACAACTGTTAATAAACACCTGTATCTTCTAGATGACATTCTTCGTAGTTCTCCAGGTTTCCGCAACATACAGTGAAACTGTCTTGACATTTGCATTGAAATCCTGACATTGGTGTTGGTTGACAGATAGTTGTTTTGAGTTCCAGATGTTCTACAATTGTAAATATTCTGCTGTTGCTTTGCCTATCCGCGCCTTCACATGTGCATCAGATCCACCCTGTCCATCAACGATGCTGCCCAAATATGTAAAGGTTTTTACATCTTCCAAATCTTCTCCATCAATTGTGATTGGATTGGTGCATTCTGTGTTGTATCGGAGAATCCTGCTTTTCCCTTTGTGAATATTGAGACCTACTTTTGCTGAAGCTGCTACCACACTGTTCGTCTTCTCCTGCATTTGTTGTTGCGTTTGGGATAGAAGGACCAGATCATCTGCGAAGTCTAGATCGTTTAACTGCATCCTATATGTCCATTGTATACCGTGTCTCCCTTCAGATGTTGACGTTTTCATGATCCAGTCGATCACCAGGAGAAAGATAAAGGGTGAGAGTAAGCAACCCTGCCTAACACCGGTCTTCACTTCGAACGACTTTGTCAACTGTCCTCCATGCACGATTTTGCAGTGTAATCCATCAGATGAACTCTGTATGATATTGACTATCTTCTGAGGCACGCCGTAGTGTCGAAGATGTTTCCATAGTGTTGTTCTGTCCACGCTATCAAATGCCTTTTCGTAGTCAATGAAGTTGATGTAGAGTGATGAATTCCATTCAATTGATTGTTCCACAATGATCCGTAGAGTTAGTATCTTGTTAACTGAGTATTTAATGCAGCCTAAATCTCCTAGTAGAATTATGGATTTACTCGAGATTATTCAAGAGCCTGAACACCAGTTATAGAGATTGTTTATTGTTAAAGATTGGTAAAATCCGCAAGCATACAGGAAACAAGCACACAGGGAAACCAAGTGTGTGTGTGAGAGTGTTAAAAGTCCATATATATTTAATGAGTGATAATCAAGTATGGATAAATTATCGATTATCTGTGTATTACAACCAATGGGAGAATAAATTGAAAATTGACATGTGCTCAATCATACTCACACAGAAATTTACATGGTAAATCAAGTGTCTAAATTACAGTGAGCAGATAAGTAATACAGTAATGGAATAGGCTTACTACAGTCTATTTTTTTCTATTACCTTGATTCCTAGTGTTAAACGTTTTTCGGTTCTTTGTTTCCAATCATACTTTGATACATGATAAGACGTCTGTTTTCTTAACTGCTCAAAGTGATTTTTCATTCATCTATTGTTTTTTTTTCTAAAACCATTTATTACTCTTATTGAATTATGTAGGACCCCCTGGTGAACCAGGGAAACCGGGACCACCAGGACCACAAGGGCCTATTGGTAAGTTAAACTATATTAACCAATTGTAATAAGGTATTTTAATTCTTCTCTTAAAATGTTGACATAATAAAGATATTTATACAATTTGTAGTGATATTTCTTGTTTAGCAGAATAGAATTATATACTGTAGGATAGTCGATTCCCTGGACTGCAATAACGAAGTTTGGATCAGTTACCTAGGCGAAATGTTTGAATGATTTCACAGTGGACTGGTTTTGGTTATCAATGGAGTCCATGATGGGGGGGGGGCGGAGAGACGATTTAGAGCTCAGGTGGATGATGTTGATAGAGTTTTGTTCTCCAAAATGGATGGTTTAGTCGTGGAGCTTTCATTGTTCTTCCGAACGACATTATCAGTACAAACGTCTACATGAACATCAGGTAGATAAAAGCTCCACGACCAAACCATCTAGGTCAGAGAATAAAACTCTATCAAAACGGAATTCATTATAAACATTTCATCCTACTTAAAACGTGTTAGCCGGATAAAACAATTTCTGACTGTTGATAATCAAACTAGAACTCACATGTCGTACCTTGCAACACAAATATTAAAGACTATTTATTTAATGATCTACTGACTTCAAATAGCTTACATTAATACTAGTTTGAATTTTGAACATCATCAGTGTTCGTATGAAACAAATTATAAAGTGCGGATCGGCAAAGCAATAGCAGGATATCCACAACTGAAGAACATCTGGAACTCAAAACACCTGACTGCCAACCAACATCAAAGTCACAATTTTCATCGCAAATATCAAAACAGTAATACTATATGTAGCGGAAACTTGAAGAACTACGAAAACCATCATTCAGAAGATACAAGTGTTTCTAATAGCTGTCTCCGCAAGATACTTCGGATCCATTGTCCAGACAGACACTATCAGTAACAACTTATTGTGGGAAGGAACAAACCAGATTCCAGTGGAGGAGGAAATCAGGAAGAAGCGTTGGAAGTGGATTGGAAACATATTGAGAAGAGCACGTAACTGCGTCACAGCACAAGCCCTCATCGCTTGGAATCCTTAAGACCCAAGGAGACGAGTAAGATCAAAGAACACAATACACCTAGAGACGGAGACAGGCATGAGAAAAATGAACCACAATTACATAGAAATAAAATGGAAGACTCAGTATGGAGTGTGTTGGAGATGCTGAACGGCGACCTATGTTTCATTGGGGGTAACAGGCATAAGTAAGTAAGTTAGCGATATTTAATTAAAACAAACCAGCTTTCAAATGAAGAGTAAATTAAGAAAAAACACTGAAAGCGGATAGGATATACATTACGGAAATCACCAAACTGTATCATGAGGCATGCGCTTACCTGGAATTCGAAAAGGAAACCGTAAATAGAAAGGTCGAAGAACACATTGCGTTAAGAATTAGAAGCAAACATCAAAAGGATGATAAGTAACTGATGACAACTGGAAAGTATTGTCAAGGACAAAAATGAACCTCGAATTGTTCAAACAGTTTTCCATTTTTCCATTGGTTACCTTTCTATGATCTGATTATTTTATAGACCTGTGTTTATTCAATGCACAACGTATACCATCGTCAGAGTCATTTCACATATCTTAAAACAATCGGTCAATTAAACAGTCATAAACGTTCCATCATACTATTTATGTAAAGATGGATAGTTAAATGTTCATTTTTTTCATTATTTCGGGCTCTTCAGTTGTATGAGCCTACGCTCTCATGTTTGTATTCATAGTGGGATGTCCAATGTGTAAATTTCTGAGCTACTGAATCCAGATAACCAGATAACAGGAATAAATCGAAGACTTAAGAATGTAAACCATTTGACATCAGGAGCAATGGTTTAATGATTAAGCGTTTGAGTACAAGACCGAAGGGTCTGCGTTCGATTCCCACTTGAGGGGTTTTAGATTAATACTGCTGAAAATTTTCATGTCAGAAAGAGATGGCCATTTCATGCTTTCAGGTTTTCAATGGTGGTTTAACATCAATCGGTTCATGATTTCAATCAAAAACTTAATAATCTCCACAACTCCTAAACTGATAATTACCATGTGTTCATTAATGAGTAGCTTCATGAGGGACATTTCGGAGTTCTAGTGAGAAGCTGTGAACAGTGTAGCTGATCTGTGTCCGGTAGAGATAGATATCTACCTCATTGCAATGGGAGATGGTCGCAAAATTTCATGGATCGGTTGAGGTTAGACATTAACATCGCTGGATTTCGGCTCTGTGATCTAGAGGTTAGGCGTTCTCAAGCGAGAACGAAGGCCCTAGGTTCGAATTCCTTGATTGAGGTCGTGGATGCGCACTGCTAAGGAGTTTCACAATAGGACGAAACAGCTTTCTACTGTTTCCAGGTTTTCTCTAGTGGTCTAACTAAGATCAGTTCATGATTCAAACGGTAAAACTGCTACAATCTCCACGAATTCCTTGTATTTATAAAATCTAAGTTGATAAATTTTATTGTTTTCCACTATTCCAGGACCACCTGGACCACCAGGTCAACCCGGTACGCCAGGTGAACGAGGACCTCAAGGTATCAAGTGTAAATAGATTTTATTTTATTGTTCAATTTTTTTAAAACTTTTTCATTACCATATAAAATACTACTTGCTTACTAATTTTTGAATCTCGTATCAACTAATATATAAATGGGCGAGATTATAATTTATGGAGAAACCAATCAGATAAAAGATGCCCCCAAATGCCCTGGTACGGCCGAGAGTGGGAGAGTCAGCTCTCTCTCTCTCTCGAAATGTTCTCACATGGTCACGAGTAAATAGCCTCTGACAGGAAAGTCCTACTCACTTGCTTCCCGCACCACAGATGTTGTTTACGAAATTGAGAGGAAGAAAAGCGAAAGTCCGGTGCTTTAACCGGGTTAATGGACATGGAGAGTTCACCTAGGGGAGTTGGAAAACCCTGATTCCAAACCAATGGTGTACATGGGCTCCACGATCCTGAAGGAGCAAATGGCGTATGAACCGATCTTTGGTCACCGGCTACCATGTGACTGCATCTCCTTACGTTCCTTCACTGCCTTGTGGATCAAACCTTCAAGTCGAAGGCTCGGGGAGTGGCCTCCTAAGAAAACCACCTGCTTCGGTCTGGGCACCCGGGCAGTATCACAGCCCTCACACATATTGAATGAGATTTGTCAAAGAATGAATCTAGAAATCAGCTTTAAGGTTAGGGCGTGTATATAGAATTGCGGTGAGACTAATCACTCTCAACATTATTGATTTCGGTAAAGAAAATATATAGAACCAATTGGTTATGTTCCTACCTCTCTGGAAGAGAACAGTACACTGTGTTTGAAGGAAAGTGTTCAACATCTCTATCTATCTCATGAAGTTGTACCACAAGGAACTGTTCTTTCATCTCTTCTTTTCTCCTTTTTTTCTGCATGATCTGTCATCTTCCATAGAAAACACTTTTGTGATATATGTGAATGATTTCAATGTATGTATGCCTATTTCTTCCTCTTTACATCCCATAGAAATGAATGAGTTTTTGTATCGTATTGATTGTTGGTCTGTTGGTAATGGTCTCATACTTAATCCGTCTAAATGTCAAGCTGCTAACTTTAGCATGAGACGTGAACGGCGTCTAAACACCATTTTGAGATCCCATAATGCTTGTGCCATTGGGGACTCTTTGATAAACACACTGTCGAAAATCGATTATCTTGGTGTTACCTTTTCCTCTGATCTCTCTTGGTCTTCTCACGTTTTATTGTTATCGTAGAAGGTTTTCCGTCTGACTAACTACATAAACAGATTGCATGCTCTTGGGATTACTCGTCATTTACTCTTACAATTTGTCAATTCTTGCATACTCCCTATTATTCCTTACTGTTCTCCATTATTCTTTCCCGGGCTTTTGAGAAAAGACTTTGCTGTATTGCAGAGAGTGTTGAAGGCAGTTAGCAAGGTGTGTGTGATGAATCTTTGAGATCGTTATTCATATAGTTATGGATAGACATTTAAAGTCTTGCAAACTCCTGGAAGGTATTATCTGCTCAGATACTAACCATCCCCTTCATTCGTATATTTATTCTTATATATCTTCTGATAAGACAAGACTTAAACACATCAAAATCTATTCACACAAGCAAAGGTATAAAATTTCTATAATACTCTATACTCTATGACGAACGTGTTGTTAGAGTCGACCTAGTCAATAACCTGCATTCCTATACATGAAAAGTTGTACAGATCCAGATCCTTCTTTTTCACCTTTTTTCTTTCCTTTTTTTCCTTTTTGTGTTTTGTGAAAGAAGCTTTTTGAAATACCTGGGATTTGTGAAGGAAATCAGTAAATAGATGTTTGCTTCAACAATGGATTGATCAATGAGTGATAACTAAAATCATCTACGTCAAGTTCTTTTTAGCGTTGATCCATCCCTATCAATTCAGTATATCTTGCTGACGAGTGCCATATGACAAGAAATCTAGATCGTTTAGGGTTTCCTATCGACTGCCTACAATTTACACTTTAAGTGTTTCAATAGTTGAAATCATGAGTCAATTGAAGCTAAACCACCATGGAAAACTTGGAAGCACTGAACGGCCGTTTCATCCTACTGTAGGACTCCTCAGTGGTAGTGCGCACCCACGGTCCCGCCCACCTCCAGATTCGAACTTAGGGCCTACCAGTCTTGCGTGCGAGTGCTTAACCATTAGGTGACTAAGCCGACATCCAAAACCGTTGGATCATGTATGTGCACTGCTGAGGAGTTCCACAATAGGACGAAACGGACGTCCTGTGCTTCCAGGTTTTCCATGGTGATTTAGCTTCAACCGACTTATGATTTCAACTATTCAAACTACTAAAATCTCCACAAAACCTCTTTCGACCTTAGATCTTTTTTCTTTTTTCTTACGTCAAATTGGAACTCAAAACAAAGCTTCTTGTAATACACTATGGGATAGGAACTAAAATAAGTTGCTATGAGAGTTGGTAATTGGTTTTTTGTTGTTGTTGTTGTTGTCCTAATTTTAATAATCGTTAGGGGAATCAATCTCAATCATGGAAGTTATTTATAATTATTTAAGAAAATAATAAAGATCATTCAATACATTTTAATATTGTGCTTCTTTTTCCCCCAAAAAACAAACACAGGTGAAATGGGACCTCAAGGACCACCTGGTCTACGTGGATTAATTGGTCTTCAAGGTCCAAAAGGTGAGTTTGATTAAATGATACTTTAGGAAATTTAAGCTAATTATGATAATGATAATATAAAAATAATAATTGCATTAATCAATATTATTGTGTTATATGCTACTTATGATGTAGATATAAGTAGTATATAACACCAGTCAGTAATGGAATACTTGGCAACAAAAGGTTGAGAAGGTTAAATTGAAATGAACAAGAACAGAGAATAATGGTTATGGAAATGAAGAGACAATGAAGTTTGAGCAAGTTGATGGATAATTTGCAAATAAAGCATTGAACGTATGGTTTTCACGCAATGGGCTACTTTCCTCAATATGTGTCCTATCCACTTCCAGCTCTTCTTCCCGATTTCCTCCTCCATTAGGATCTGGTTTGTTCTCTCCCAAAGTAGGTTGTTGCTGATAGTGTCGGGTCAATGGGTTCGAAGTATTTTCCGTAGAAAATTGTTAAAAGACACTTGTATCTTGTGAATGATGGCTTTCGTAGTTCTCCAGGTTTCCCTCTTATGCAGTAGAACTGTTTTGATATTTGTATTAGAAATTGTGATTTTGGTGTTGGTTGACAGATAGTTGTTTTGAGTTCGAGATGTTCTTCAGTTGTGGATATGCTGCTATTGCTTTACCGATCCGCTCAGATCCACCGTGTTCATCAATGATGCTGCCCAAATATATGTAAAGGTTTTTACATCTTCCAAATCTTCTCCGTCAAATGTGATTGGATTGTTGCATGCTGTGTTGTATCGGAGAGTCTTGCTTTTTCTTTTGTGTATATTGAGACCTACTGCTGCTGAGGTTGCTGCTACACTGGTCGTTTTCGCCTGCATTTGTTGTTCCGTGTGAGATAGAAGAGCTAGATAATCTGGGACGTCTAAATCGTCCAGCTCCATCCTAACTGTTCACTGTATTCCATGCTTTCCCCCAGTTGTTGATGTCTTCATGATCCAGTCGATTAAGTGCAACATAAAGTATTCAGTACGAAGCATTCTGTCAATACACGTTTATAGAGGTTGTCGTATATAATTAACATCACAAAGTAATCTCATTTAGACTATGATTTGCAATAAACAATCACTAGACGGCTGTTTCTTCCTAGTGCAGAGCGATTTAACAATGTTCATTCACAATCCAACACATTATCCGGATGTTCCGTGTACCTATAAAAATTGTTGCTGTGGCTGTCAGAAGGAGCATCGGCCTCGTGACTTCCGAAGGAACCCAGCCTTCACCATACCCAGGACAGTGTTGGATAGAGACTGCTGGTGGGCGGCCTATTCTCTTCCACAAGACATAACAGGCGTAAGGTAGTAAGTAAGTCAGTGGTTGAACTCAGCACGCTAAATTTCCAATATGTATCCTTAAACTGTAAATCAAATAATCAGGACCTAACAATACACAAACAAACGTTTTCTAAGCGTAAGCGTTACTATAAGCAAAATCTATACAGTAAACAACAATAAATGTATAAATGCTTATGAAGTCTGGTTTTTGAATTCTTTCATTGATGTTCAGCATTACAATTGGTCAATCTCTTTCGACATATCTATATCCAATGAGAATTGCTTCAATGTCGCTATTAAGCCATAAGCATTATAAGCAGAGATGGTTAATGGATAGCAATGAAATTCAGGACACTTATTTCGTCCTATTCAACTGATGAGTCTCAAACAGGACTAATAACGTATCCAAGATTCCAAGCATAATCAATAACCATCTCTTGTTTAGTTCATCTCGTTGCAATAATATAATATAGTAATTTAGGCCTGATTTATAATTGAGGATGATAATGATTAGTTGTTTGCTTAGTCAGACTAGTATGTAGTCTAACAAGAGTTAAATGAGTTATATATTCTCCTATCCTTATGATTATTGTTGATTGATTTTGGATTATATCGGTTTGTTGTCGGTTTTTAGTGTAGAATATACATATATTCTAATCAGGCTAACCACGTGTTGTTAACCTGAGTTGTGTTGAAGTCCTCTAGAATACAGACACTGGAAGGGAATCTAGTGAAGATATTCGTCTAAAGCAAATTAATGTCCCATTCGTGCAGACATAGAAAGCCGATCATAATAACAGGTTCACCGATCATATATGCCAAGTTGTGCGTTGATGTTGGCTATTAAATGACAAATATAATCAGAAGGGGGGGGGCTTTATGGAGACTTTAGTAATTTAATAGTTGAATTCGTGAATCAATGAAAGCTAAATTACCATGAAAGACTTGGAAGCACTGGTTAGCCGTTTCGTCCGGGTATGGACTTCTCAGCAGTGCACATCCGCGATACCGCCCGCGGGATTCCAATACAGACCACTGAGCTGGCCGGCATCTAATAGTGTTAATGTCTAACATTAATCAGTCCACGAAATGACACCTCCATCTACCATTATCTTCCACGAGTTACTTACAACTATTGCCATCATTTATCTTATAATCATTAATTCAAAGCATTTCATTTCAAATAAATTACATTGTTTTTATTTCTTTTCCACTATCTCTCTTTCACACACACACACACACTCCTTCTTTTCATCTGTCACTAAAATTTGTTCTATTCAATATTTCATTTCTTCAAACTTAAATGTTCCGCATTCTTATTCCCGCAAAATTGAATTTAAACACAAATTCAAACATTCCAAACTTTAAACAAAAGGAATGCAATCCGATGTAGTTTCAATAGTGATGTGATGGGTATTACGGAATAAAATCGGTTGCTTCTTTTGAAAGGTTGAACATTCTTTATTGTGAATAGTTTGGGATATTCATTCTGAAACATTCATTGAACTGATCTAAATAAAGTTCTATTATTGTTATGTAATTCGCAGTTTATTTTATTTTATAATAATGATTTATATGTGCTACTGATATTGATAGTTATAAGTAGTATGTATAATCAATCGAAATATTTGGTGGTAGATAATTAAGAAGATTGAAGAAAAGAGAATGAGAACAGAGAATGATTGGTGTGGAAATGAAAGAACAATGAAGTTTGAGACGATTGATTGACATTTTACAAATGAAGGATTTACTGTATGGTTCTCAGATTTTACTAAGTGATTCTGTACTCAAATACATTCGATTATCCCCACTTATGTTCGTATTCACTACAGATCTAATTAGTGAGAAAAACTCCAAGATGAAGTCATTTGAAGTGATCTCGGTGTCACTATAATTTATGGACGAATTTAAAGTGACGTTAAAATGATCCTGAGAATGTTCACCTATCAGCTGACAATAAATGATGATTATAAAGCAGTGTAAGGAATTACAATTATAATTTACAATGTATGGTTAGGGTTAAAAACTAGATTTACAGTTTTCATCAAGTACTGACATCAGCTAAACTGCCAAGACCACTATCTATCCAAATGGATGAATAAAGTTTGCAACAAAATCTTAGACCTGTTATCATAGATCCGATTGGTTCGTTCATAAATTATAGTCTCACCGTGAACTCTTTTTACTGAAATTATCTTTCTCTCTCTCTCTCTCTCTCTCTGTTTATCACTCCTACTTTAAGCATGTTACTTAGTAATGGAAAAAAACTACAATGGTCTATCAAATGTTTTTGTATTATTAGACAAATATTGTTTTAATATCGGAAGGAGGTTTTGTGGAGATTATAGTAATTTCAGTAGTTGATATCATGAGTCAATTGAAGCTAGACCACCATGGAAAACCTGGAAGTACTAAATGCCCGTTTCGCCGTAGTACGGGACTCCTCAGCATTGCGCATCCACGACCCCGCACCTCGCGGGATCCGAACCCAGGACCTACTGGTTTCGCGCGCGTGCACTCAACCATTAGACCACTGAGCCGGCATCCAACGGTGTTAATGTCTAACTTCAACCAATCCACGAAGTTGCGCCACCGTACACCATTGTCTTCAGTGAGTTCCTATCTCACAACAAACCTGGTTGAACTCCATTGGTAACGACTTCTCACTAGAACTCCAAAAGTGTCTCCTGAAGTCAGTCACTGGTGAGCAGGTGATTATTATTATCAGAATGGGTTTTGTGGAGATTTTTAGAAATTTCACAAGTTGAAATCATGAGTCAATTGAAGCTAGACCACCATGGAAAACCTGGAAGTACTAAATGGCCGTTCCGTCCTAGTATGGGACTCCTCGGTAGTGCACATGCATGATTCCGCCCAGAGATATTTGACTAAATCATCATTAATATTTCATTGTTTTCATTCTAGGTCCTCCTGGTCCAATGGGACCACCTGGAAAAGATTGTAAGTAATATTCAACATTATTTTTATGATAATATAAACACATTTATGTATAATTCACTTGATATTGTTTTACTTGAATCTTCCCATTGATGTTTTAGGACTGAAATTGATCTGTCTCTTATAAGAGAGTCCTAAAACAACAATGGGAAGATTCAAATAAAACAATATCAGGTGAATTCAAATTCACCCCATTGCACAACCAAGTGGCTATCAGGACTCAGTAGCTAAGTGGATAACGCGATGGCGTTTGAAGCGAACGGTGCTGAGTTCGAGTCCCAGAGTGAACATTAACTCTGAGATGCAGGCACATCCAACTGACGGGTCCCGAACGAGACGAAATGCGCGTCCTGGACTCCACTGCTAACCACTATCCATCTTTGTTTATAACATTTATGTATATTGTATTGATAATATTATGTAATAAAGATTGACAATTGATGTTTCGTTTCAAGAAACACTGTCAAATTATCTGACAGGTCACATATACCTGACATTCCATGTATTTAATATAAATATGTGTTATATTGTGACAATCTTGATTAAGATACAAATATGCTAAATATGATAACCAGTCGAGTCATGAATGACCTTTGAGTGACGCCCAAATGACCTTCAGAATGTTCGCCTACATATCACGGCTAAATGAGGGTTATAAACATGTTGAAGGAATTGGGATTAACATTTGTAGTCAATGATTAGGGTAAGAACTAAATTTACAGTTTTCATGCCAAATGGTTGAATGAATATCGTGCCAAAATCCAGCACCTTTTATTTTATATCTGATTGGTTCGTCCACAAATTATAGTCTTGCAGATAAACTTCTTGAACTTTCAATAGTTGAAATCATGAGTCAATTGAAGCTAGACCACCATGGAAAACCTGGAAGCACTGGACGTCTGTTTCGTCTTAGTACGGGACTCCTTAGCAGTGCGCAGCCACCTTCTTGAATTTTGATTTCATAAATGTTATTTTCAACAATATGGAGAATATTTTGTCGTGACTTTAAGTCAAGCTAATTATTATGTGACTTATTCACCAATCGAAATACGATTTATACAATCTTGGCACTGTGACAAACCAATGACGTTCCACCGATATTAGTGGTCTGAAGTCTCTGTCGGTCCTTCTTCTTGTTTAGCCCTGCCTGTTGAGTCCAGAACATGAATAACAGCTTTCATTATGCTAACGCTGTGCTTTGGATGCACTGAAAGTTTTCACAATTATTGCAACTTCGATGCCACGTTCAGCCACACACTACATAGGATAATCCTTGTAAGTAGCATCCACTACAGTATAATCTCCTAGCTTACGTCGAAGTTGTACTTCATAATTAACACCTGTCAAGGATTACCCTATTATGATACTCAGGTACTGCGACTACTTTAGTGATTGCACGAAAATAATTACTATTAGTAATTAAAGATTAGAGAAGTACTGTGCAAAGCTGGTGCGTGGAGTAAACTTGATAAATTAGACTTGCATACCCATGAAACCATTAGGAATGGAACGCGCTCCAACTGCCCTGGTACGACCGAGGGTCGGGAGAATCACTTCTACCTATCCAAATGCTCTCACATGGGCACGCGTATACTGCCACTGTCAGGGAAGTCCTGTTCACTGCAAAGATGTTGTTTAAGAAATTATGAGGACGAAAAGTGAAAGTCCGACGCTTTAACTGGGTTAGTGGATATGGAGGATCCACCTAGGGGGGTTGGAAAATTCTGATTCCAAACCAATGGTGCACATGGGTTCCAGGATCCTGATGGAACGAATGGTATGTGAACCAATTGTTGGTCACCGACTAATATGGGACTGGGTCTCCCGAAATTGCTTCACACTGCCTTGTGGATTAGACCTTTAAGTCAAAGGCTACGGGTGTTCAGTTCTCATGATTAACGCATTTATTGTAATAATACTGATGAAAAAACTTACGTTAGCTAAGACTTTCAAAACAATCATCCTATTTTATTTAATTCTTCACAGCTCCATCTCATACATGTAATGTATTATGTGAAAAAGAAAGTTATCGATATGGTAAAGAAGAATCAGGTTAGTGAGATGTTTGTAATTGTTTTTTGCAAAAACAAAAAAATTCAAATAGAAAACTATTGTGTGAATAGATTTAGTCCATGTTAATTGTTTCTATGGAGATTTATATTATGGCATATAATGTCAGTGTATCAGCAGTCTCAGCAGCAGTAGATCTCAATACACACAAAGGGAAAATCAAGATTCTCCGATACAACACAGCATGCAACAATCCAATCACATTTGACGGAGAAGACTTGGAAGATGTAAAAACCTTTACATATTTGGGCAGCATCATTGATGAACATGGTGGATCTGATGCACTTGTGAAAGCGCGGATTGGTAAAACAAGAGCAGTGAATTTACAACTGAAGAACATCTCGAACTCAAAACAACTATCTGTCAACCAACACCAATGTCAGGATTTTCAATACGAATGTCAACACAGTTTCACTGTATGGGACGGAAACCTGGAGAACTACGAAAGCCATCATCCAGAGGATACAGGTGTCCAAGCAAAATACTTCGGATCCGTTGGCCGGACATTATTAGCAACAACCAACCTTGGGAAAGATCAAACCAGATTCCATTGGAGGAGGAAATTAGGAAGAAGCGTTGGATGTGGATAGGAAACATATTGAGGAAAGCGCCCAACTGCGTCACAACACAAGCCCTCATCACGTAGAATCCTCAAGACCAAAGGAAGGGAGGAAGACCAAAGAACACAATACACCGAGAAACGGAGATAGCCATGAGAAAAATGAACAAGAATCGGATGGAACTAGAAAAGAAGGCCCATGACAAAGTGGATTGGAGAATGCTAGTCGGTGGCCTATGCTCCATTAGGAGTAGCAGGCATAAGTAAGTAACTAATATGTCAGTCAGTCAGCTACAATGTAGTACCAGGCACATGGATACATCAGTCCAAGTTGCCATAACTTATTAACACGACAAGATGAATAACGAATTCGTAGTAGTTACTTCAATGGCAGTAACATATAAAAGAAAGATTGCATATAAGGACTTAGTACAGGAAGAAATAATTAGTTCTCACGGTTTAATGGAATACAAAGAGTGTATACATTTACACCGTTGTGATCGATTTTGACCCATGTCACACAGAGTCTCCAATGATTGGTTACGCCGATCGCAACCAAGTAGTCTGCATCTACCATCAACATGGCTAAGACTAAAAGTTAGTGACTTCAAGCACCGATGCCACATTTTGATTTGGCCGCCCTAAACATATAATATGACGTTTGAAAAATCTGAATTGTAGTGATTGTATGTTGCTATGACATCATGACTGTCAAGTATTCTTTGAGTTTGTGCATCGATTTTCCATTGTGATATCAGGTCATAGAAAGGTATCCGAAAAGATCAAAATATCAGTTATCTAACAAACAGTACACTTACTTAATCGATAACTACAAGTCATATTCAGTTGAGAGGGCAAAAGAAGACAATAATATGAGAATCCACCATTGGTAATCTTTCTTTAGATTTAGAATTCCAGTATCACTGATATGCGCGATTCCACATCATCTTTTGTGACCTGTACTACAAATGGTCAGTTCTGTTTGAATTATGTTGACTGTTATGATGATTTCGACTCTTTTGATACTTATTTGATCATTTGGATTCTGTTGTACTGATTTCATATGGCAACTTAGGATATCATACATGGTTACCAGACTTTATGGTAATTGTAGTTGAGTAAATAAGATTAAAGAATGTATCTTGAAGAGGATTTTCTCATCACAATCAGCCACATAACCAACTTTTTTTATCGAGTGATTCATAAATATGGTTTGGCCAGTGAAGGTGGAAGAAAAGGTAACTTCTGACCCTAACTTGTGTTCCAGTTAATCAAGAAAATAATCAAAATTACATTGCTCTGAGCCTAACTACTTTCATTCTCAACAAAAATAGATGGTGATTAGAATTGAAATCTGTGATGCGAGTTTTGTTCTATTTGGGAATCGTCACTCGCTGTATCTGCATCTCGGGGTTGACGTTTACTCCGGGACTCGAACGTACACCACTTTCTTTTATCAGTGTAATAACGTGAATGTTTGAGGTAAGCAAACTTTCAGCTGTTTATCACCCATGAAAAAATATGATAAACTCATCAATCTCCATCGTACCATTACAAGTAGATTACCTCCGTAACTACTCATTTAGCTATTTATCACTTATTACTGTTACTACATTAATCATTCTAATTACTTTTATATGTATATATGTATTGATATTTTAGCTTGTGAAGTGAAATGTACAAATTACATTAAACGTAAAGAAGAATCAACTTGACATATTCTTCTTTTATAGGTAAGCAATAGATAGTCTTAGCATATATATATATCAGAAGGGGTAGCAATTCTAATAGTTGAGATCATGAGTCAGTTAAAGCTAGACCACCAAGGGAAACATGGAAGAACTGGACGGCCACTTCGTCCTAGTATAGGACTCCTCAGAAGCGCGCATCCACGATCCTGACTCTCTGGATTCGAACTCAGGACATAATCGGTCTCGAGCTCGAATGCTTAACATCTAGACCACTGATCCGGCCGGCGTCTAACGGTGTTTATGTCTAACTCCAACCAATCCACGAAATTGTGCGATCATCTTCCAATGCACTGAGGTAGATACCTGTCTCTACACAACATGGATTAGCTCCACTGTTCACGGCTTCTCACTAGAACTCCGAGAATTCCCTCACGAAGCTATTCACTACTGAGCACATGGTAATTATCAGTATAGGGTTGTGGATATTAGCTCCGTGTCGGGTAGACAAAGGTATCTACCTCAGTACATTGGAAGATGGTCGCGCAATTTCATGGATTGGTTGGAGTTAGACATTAACACCGTTGCATCCCGGTCGGATCAATGGTCTAGATGTTAAGCATTTGCGCGCGAGACAGAAGGCTCTGAGCCTGAATCCTTTGAGCAGGATCGTGGATGCGCACTGCTGAAGAGTCCCACAATAAGACCGAATGGCCATCCAGTGCTTCCAGGTTTCTAATGGTGGTCTAACATCAATCGGTCCATGATCTCAATTAAAATCTTCATCTAAGAGTTGATGTTCGCTGTAGGAAGATACAAGCAAAACAACGCCAAATGAATAATAAATAGTTTGTTCTATGTTATTAGTTGTTGTTGCTGTTCTTGTTTACAATCATGTTTTCTTTCTTCACATATTTACTTTGATCAATATCCTAACTAATTTGGCTTTTTTTTAATCTTATATTTCTATTTTAACTCCCTTGTTAACTAACATAATATGCTTATTATGACATATCAACAACAATAAGAACAGTTGTAGCGTCAGTTATTATGTTAAACCCATATACCTTATTCTAACTTACGGACAGTTCAACCTGTTCATTCTATTTGAGTCACATTCTGACCTTGTTATTTATTCGCTTATCAATCTTGACTGTTTTTATAGGAGCGCATAGGTGTGTGCACATTTCTTATCCCATTACTCATCACGTACCTGCAACTTACTTATGCGTAACTATACATGTTGATTAGCGCTTGGTTAAATGGGAGTTGGCTTATCCGCCATCTCCACTCCGCGTCGTTTCTCTTCACTCTATTCCATTCGCTTCAGATACAAAATATATGTATTCAAAAGTCCATTCTCGTTATTCGACTTATCTAAATCCGTTATTGACTAACGCGATTCAAGTCAATGATTATATGCGAGGATAGGTGACGTCTATATTTCAACAACAATCATTATTACAGTCTCCTTGGAGTCAGATCTCGGGCCACTAAAGTGAAGGGTCCTTTCGACAACATCGTTCGATCGAAATAACGACAAAATAAAGAGCCCCACAACACAATAACTGGGCGGATTCGCATGCATATAGCAAACGATTCTCTTTGAACCTAGTACAAAACAATAGAATCATGCACTGTCCCATTGCCCTTGACAGACTAGGCACCCCATGACATATCGGTTGATCACTTAATGATTGAAGCTCTAGAATTCTGGCCTTTTTACAGATAACTTGAATGTTCATACAACTAGAGATGATAAACAGATGTATCATCTTGTCTCAAATAATGTTTCTCTTTTTTTTCTTTTCTTTTTCAGGTACCATAATCATTCTATTCATTTTTCCAATACCGATATCCAGTTGAAGATAATTAAAACATCACAAAAACTATTCTTATCAAGTTAATGTTTGAATAAAGAATGTTGTTTTCTGAAAAAAGTCATACTGACTTTCCCTAGTAACTAAACGGTCATTTGAATGGTATATTATTTTTAGTTATATTCCTTGTTTATTGATATTTCCCCCTCCCACCACCCAACTTTCTTGATTTCTAACAACTTACAAGATATTTGACAAATAATGGCAAGACTATAGTTTATAGACGAAGGAATCAGGTGTATAACATAACCGATCTCGAATTTTGGCGTGAAATTCATTTATCCATTTGATTATATAGAGTTTTGTCATTGTCGCTAATGTCAGTTCGTGATGAAAACTCTAAATCTAATTCCTAACCTTAATTATCAACTGTATATACTACTTATATATTTCGATAATATTACTTAAATAATATTGATAATTATACCTGGGTTGAATCTTGCGAGGTATGGGATAGTGGATCCGCACTGCTGTGGAGTCTCACACTAAGAAGAAACGGCCTTCCAGTGCTCCCAGGTTTTCCATGGTGATCTAGCTTCAATTGACTCATGATTTCAATCAGTGAAATTTCTAAAATCTCCACGAAACCCCTTCTGATATAATATATGTATAAAAAGTTGAACAATTTGTTTGTCATACAATGAGACATTTTCATACATTTAGGGAAGAATTAATAAACCTTGGTAAATTGTAAATCATTTTTACTTTAATAGTTGACCATTATGGAAAACCTGGAAGCATTGAAAGGCCGTTTCGTCTGAGTATGGGACTACTCAGCAGTGCCCGTGGGATTGGAACCCAAGACATTTGATGGCGCGATTTCTTGGATTTGTTGAAGTTAGACAATAACACCGTTGATTGCCGGCTTACTAGTATGAACGTTAATCGTTCAGACTCGAGACCGTAGGTCCTGAATTCGAATCTCGCGGAACGGGACCATGGCTGCGCATTGTAAAAGTGTACCATACTAGAACGAAACGGCCATGTAATGCTTTCAGGTTTTCTATAGTTGTCTAACTTTAATCAAATCATGAATGCAACTATTAAATTACCACAATCACCACAGTACCACTGTAAAGATTTCCTATAATATAAAAATAATGTTGTTGGATGTTAAACTAAACACCTTGTCAGCAGTATGTCATTATACTCACAGTAGTAATCAAGTTAAGATGATGATGAAAGTCACTTTGAACTTGTATACTAATGAAAACTAGATAAAGCAAATCCAATCCAACATGTAGAATCAGTTCATAAAGTTAATAATTGTTGAATTGAACTGTGTTGGAAAGTGTAGAATGATTAGTTAGATTCTTAGCAATGATATGATTGAGAATTGTTTAGAATAGCGATAATGGATTCACAGCTTTCTTTCCTTCTTGACTTTTAGGCTAATCTTAGACTTCTTATTTTACAGATTCATTCTTTTGTCCCATATCTTATGATCTATAAGTGTCTTGTGTGATCACTGATACTACTATCACTTCTACTACTTAAGTATTCTTCCTGAATGCATCGTGTTTCTGTGCTGTGAAGGATATCAACTTGAATCAACGCATTATTTTGTATATCAGATTCAATGTTTTCTATGGCTAACTGAGGAATCAATAATGAAGAATAAATTGATTTATCTAGACCTTCATGAAAAACCTGGAAGCACTGGATGGCTGTCTCATCCTAGTATGGAGCTCCTGAACAGTGCACATCCACGATTCCACTCACGGCATTCGAACCCACAACCTATCGGTCTCTAGACCACTGAGCCAGCATCCAACAGCTGCTTTAAGTCAGATGCTTTTATTAATTATCTTTGACAGTTTAAATGTAATGGAAAAATATATTATCGAGTACATAAGTCTCCTGAAAGATATTCAAATATTTAAACAGTTCTAAAGTACATTTCATTCACATGATCAGGGAATCATAATTCTGTATTTCGACAACTTTGTCCTAAAACAATATGCATAATTTAGACCACCATTGAAGACCTGGAAACACTGGACATCCGTCTCGTCTTAGTATGGAGATCCTCAAAAGTGTTCATTCACGATCCTGCACACCGGGCTAAAACCTGTACCGGATGGAGACAGCTTAGTAAGATCATGGATCGATTGAAGTTATACATTAACGCCATTGGATGCTGCGTCAGTGGTCAGTTGATTAAGCGTTTACGACCGAAATCGATTATCCTGGGTTCGAGTTCTGCGTACAAGAGGAGTTCCATAAAATAACGTAAATGGCCCTCAAGGTTTTCAATAATATTCTAGGTCATATGGAATTGTGAATTCAACTATTATAATAGTACAGTCTCCACAACTCCCCATTCTGTTACAAATACATTTTCATTACAGTCATCTATCCATAAAATTATTGTACTTCTGATAACCATGTGTCAGTCATTAAACTGAAGTTATAAAATTTATCACATATTTTCAAACTACTTATTAGTAATATAAATATTAATACGGAAAACAAAATTTAATTACGAAATAATGATATACATTATATCTAGCATAATACTCATAAATTGTTCAGTATTATTCTTCAGTAGTATATTTTTCATTTACAAAAAATATGGTGACAATCTCAACCAAATCGTTTAATTTCATTGAAAATTCTTCCACTAACTTCTTTGAAAAAGGATACTAGAAGGATTAGTTTTTCAAAAGAGAAAGAAATGAAAAAAGAAAACAGAAGAAGAAGAAAATTATTAATCCATGAAAATAATGATTAAAAATAAGGGTAAATTAGTTCTCAACTTAATAGGGGTTTACAAATGAACAAAGTTAACTGTCTATGACATCAACTGTCAGTCAGTCAGCTACAACATAGGACCAGGCACATATATGGATCGGTTCAAGTGTATACACTGAAGGCATTGTGATCGATTTACAGTCATGTCACACAGAGTCTCCAAACGCTGATTGTGACAGTCACGTGGACCCCAACCAAGTAGTCTGTACCTACCAACATGAACATGTTTACTTACTTACTTATCTACGCCTTTTACTCCTAATGGAGCCCGGATAAAGGAGGAGGGTTGGGAATGGGGTTAGCAACCCCATTCCGTAGAAAACCAACTCGCTAAAAAAACGCTTACCAGAAAAAATTATTGAAACATGACCATGTACACTGATGATAATCATTCGTTCATTAGTGACTAATTTGGAGAAGTAACTCTGGAGTTCTAATAAGAAACTGTCACTAGTTAAGCTCAACAATATTAGGTGTGAAGTAGGGTCTCATCAATTAAATTGGAAAATGAATAGGTAATATCTCTCATTGATTGACGTTATAGATATCATAAGTGAAATATGAAATTGAGGGATATTGCAAGTTATAACTGTTGAAAAACATGAAAGTTCTATGTTTACCTAGTGGATAACGCGATGGCATTTGATACTAACGGTACTGAGTTTGAGTTCTAGAGTGAACATCAACTTTGAGATTTAAGTACATTCAGCTGATGAGTCTAAAATACGACGAAACACATATCATGCATTTCATTGTTATCCACTATCTATCCTTGTATCCTATTATAGGGGTTGTGGAGATTATTACATTTTTGACTGAGATCATGAATCGATTGATGTTAGACCACCTTTAGAAACCTGGAAGCACTGGACGGCTGTTTCGTCCTATTGTGGGACTCCTGCGTGGCAGTGCGCATCCACGATCCCCCCCGTGGGATTCCATGTTTACCTTCTAAAACATCTATCTAATACTTCACAATTCTTAATAAAATTTATAAATTGAATTCAGTAGTTGAATGATTTCCGGATAAATGAACATTGGAATTATATTACACTTACATCTTTTAATAATCTTTCACATTGTATAGGCCATTTTGTTAAATTGTCTATATATGAATTCATAGTGAATTTTGAAAGAATTCCACATTGATTGAATTGTTTCGTTTTATTATTGAATGAATTGATCGGTTCAATTTTTGTTAAGTCGATATGATCAGGATCATCAGGATGATGATCATTAATGCCAATAGTGAGATCTTGTTGATCATTATGATGATTATCATTATCTAGAAATGTTAATTTCTCTAAATCATTTAATGATAAACATAGAATTTCAGCTGCTTTCATTTTAGCTACATGTAAACTATCTTGACTTATTGTAGACTTTGGATTATCTAAAAAAACAACGACAAAAAATCAACTGTAAATTAAATACAAGAGAAAGGGAAGTTAAAAGTAGGTTTTTTGATTGAGATCATGAACCGATTGATGTTAGACCATCACAATTGAAAACCTGGAAGCACTGGACGGCCGTTTCGTCCTATTGTGGGACTCCTCAGCAGTGCACATCCACGGTCCCTCTCGCGGGATTCGAACACAGGGTCTTCGGTCGCGCGTTCTAGTGAGAAGCCGTGACCAATGGAGCTAATCCTTATCGGGTAGAGACAGGTATCTACCTCAGTACAACGGAAATTGGTCGCGCAATTTCGTGGATTGGTTGGTGTTAGAAACTATCACCATTGGATGCCGGCTCAGTGGTCCAGTTGGTTAAGCGTTCGTACGCGAGACAGAAGGCCCTGTGTTCGAATCCCGCGAGCGGGACCGTGGATGCGCACTGCTGAGGAGTCCCACAATAGGACGAGACGGCCGTCTAGTGCTTCCAGGTCTTCAATTGTGATGGTCTAACATCAATCGGTCCATGATCTCAATCAAAACTTAATAATCTCCACAACCCCTATACTAGTAAATGTAGATTATTTTCAGAGAAGGAGGATTGAATATCCGGCGCTTTAAATGGGTTGCTGGATACGGGAAGTTCACTTAAGGGAAAATAATAGCTACTGATAGTTTTAACTAAGTCGTCCCCAAATGCCCTTATACGACTGAGAGTGGGGAGAGTCAGCTCTCTCTCACGCTCCACAAACGCTCTCACATGGACATGTGTATACAACCGCTGATCAGGGCAGTCCTACTCACTAGCTTCTGAAGGTGGGTATTGCTTACGAAACTGAGAGGACGAAAAGCGAATTTCTGGCGCTATAACTGTGTTGGTGGACATGGAAGATCCATCTAGGGGAGTTGGAAAGGAAGTGGCGTATGAACTAATCGTTTATCACCGGCTACCATAGAACTGCATCTCCTCACGTTGTTCCACTGCCTTATGGATCAGACCTTTCTGTTGAAGGCTCTGGTCGTGACCCCCTAAGAAAACTGCCTGTTTCGATTTTGGCACCCGGGTAGTTTTTCAGTCCTCATAAAAATCGAATGATCTATGTGGCGCATATGTATTCTATACCCCTTTCTTCCAATGTTTATGTGTTTAAATAAATAAGTGAAATAAATAGATTTTATTCAGCATAAGAGTTTGTGGAGATGTTCGAATGTTATTAAGATTATTAACCAAAATTGTAAATTGATTGAATTTAGACAAGTACACTATTGATTGACCACTTAGTGATATGAATTGAGCGTACACTGAGAAACTTGATCCTTAGAGGGTTCATGTATATTCCCCGTTGTTTTGTAGTTTCTTATTAGGATAGAATAGTTTTATGGTGTTCCCTAGCCCTCCGCTTTTCAGTGGTTGTCTAATTTTTGTCCATTCGTAACCTTAGTAAACGTAAGACAGATCTCTTAGAATTTAATCCACTGTCAAAATATACAAATCAAATGTTGATAGTTTCATTTCGTTATATTCGTAAGAATACTTTTATGTTACTCATTGTATACTCAATCACATGTGTTTATTACTCAATTGTGTGCTACAAACAACCTATTTATGATTAAATTGCAGATTTTTATTGAGATCATGAACAGATCCAAGTAAGACAACCATTAAAAACCTAGAAGTACTGGACACTGACTTCGTCCTAGTGAAGAACTCGTCAGTAATGTGTATCCATGGTAATGCAAAATAGAGTCTGAACCAGAGTATTTTATCTCTCGTGAGAACGCATAACCACTTAGTCAACGGTGTTTATGTCTAACTTCAATCGATTCATAATATTGTATAATGATCTTCTATTGTCTTCGATGTGTAACTTTCTCATACCCAACACGACTGAACTCTACTGGTCACGCGCTCTTATTAGGACTCTGGAAATGTACTCTCGAAGCTAGTCATTACCAAGCACATAATTGATTTATCATTCATACCACGCTGTAATCTTGTGATTGATACAAATTATCATGTTCTTAAGTCATTTATTTAGAAAATTTATTGACTATTATTCTCTGATTGTATGTAATCAAGACAGAAGGAACTTGCATTGACTGATACGTTTCACCACACTTAGTGGCCAGAATGATCACACAAATGTCATTAATGTTAATTAACATATTTGTGGATTCAGCAACTTATCGATTTTATTAAATGAGCATACAGAAGTTGAAATTGATTACAGTCTGCAGTTAGTGAACCTGAAGACTTTCGGTAGAATATGTTTTAAATTTTTGCTTTACTTTAGGATAGCTGAGAGGCAGCATAAAAATATTTCCAATATGGGAAAATATATGTTCTGAGTTCTCAATTGAATAAATGAAAGATATTTAGATCTTGTTACTAAAGTCAATCAGGGAGTTATCCTCGTATAGAGTAGTCTCTACGATACATTCGGACGAAGGAGTTTCGGTGGAGACTATAATAATTTAATAGTTGAATTCATGAATCAATTAAACCTAGACCATTATTGAGAACCTGACAGCACTGGAAGGCTGTATCGTTGTAGTAGGAGATTCCTTAGTAGTGCTCATCCATGATCCCGTTTCCAGGATACGAAGCCAGGATCTATCAGTCTCAAGAGCGAACGCTCAACCTGTAGACCACTAACTTGACAGGTCATAATAATAACAATAATAAAACTTCGGTTAGATTAGTCAAATAACTCCGCCTGTAGCTCTAATAGGGTTACTGCCGGTCCCAAGCCCGGGTAAAGGAGGAGGGTTGGGCATGGGGTTAGCGTCCCCATCCCGTAGAAAACTAACTCGCTAAAAAAACGCTTACCAGAAAAAATTATTCAAACCATTTAAACTCTGCCCTGGGAGTTAGAAGGTCTTCAGTTAGAAGAATTATGACGCTTCATGGTGAAAGCCGAGTTCCTTCGGAAGCCACGAGGCCGATGCCCCTTCTAACAACCAGAGCAAAAATTTTTATAGGTACATGGAACGTTCGAACAATGTGGGAAACCGGGAAGACCAGTCAAATAGCAATGGAAATGAGGAGATACAACTTAGCAGTACTGGGAATCAGCGAAACCCACTGGACCCAAGCTGGACAGAAAAGGCTAGCTACGGGAGAGATGCTGCTATACTCCGGTCACGAGGAGGACAATGCTCCACACACTCAGGGAGTCGCTCTTATGCTGTCCAAAGTAGCACGAAATGCACTTGTAGGATGGGAGTCTCACGGATCCAGAATCATCAAAGCATCATTCAAAACAAAGAAGGAGGGGATCTTAATGAATATTATCCAATGTTATGCACCCACCAATGATAGCAACGACGACATTAAAGATCAGTTCTACGAGCGGCTACAGTCAATCATTGAGAAATGCCAAGAAAGGACCTAACTATTCTGATGGGAGATCTAAATGCCAAAGTCGGAATAGACAACACCGGATATGAAGATATCATGGGACGACATGGACTGGGACAGAGAAACGAAAATGGAGAAAGATTTGCAAATCTATGTGCATTCAACAAATTGGTCATAGGAGGCACAATATTTCCACACAAGCGTATACACAAGGCTACATGGATCTCACCGGACCACACTACAGAGAACCAAATAGATCATATTTGCATCAACAAAAAATTCCGAAGGACAATGGAAGATGTAAGAACCAGGAGAGGTGCTGACGTAGCTTCAGATCACCACCTAGTTGTAGCCAATTTAAAACTGAAGCTAAAAAAGAACTGGACAAGTGGACAAACAGCACTACAAAGGTTCAATACAGCCTTCCTTCGAGATACTGACAAACTCAATGAATTCAAGATAGCTCTCAACAACAGGTTCCAAGCCTTACAAGATCTACTGAAAGAAGAAGAAACTAGTATGGAGGACAACTGGAAAGGCATCAAGGAAGCATTAACTTCAACGTGTCAAGAGGTTCTGGGCCTAAAGAAACACCATCATAAGGAATGGATCTCTATAGAAACACTGGACAAGATCAAAGAAAGGAAGAACAAGAAGGCAGCAATTAACAACAGCCGAACACGAGCAGAGAAAGTTCAAGCACAAGCTGAATACATAGAAGCAAACAAACAAGTGAAGAGGAGCATTAGAGCCGACAAGAAGAAATACGTGGAAGAACTAGCAACGACGGCAGAAAAAGCTGCTAGAGAAGGAAATATGAAACAGCTTTACGATACAACGAAGAAACTAGCAGGGAAATACAGTAAACCAGAGAGGCCGGTCAAAGACAAAGAAGGCAAGCCAATCACCGAAATTCAACATCAGCGTAACAGATGGGTGGAATACTTCGAGGAACTCCTGAATAGGCCGGCTCCAATGAATCCACCGGACATCGAAGCAGCACACATAGATCTTCCTATAGATGTCAACCCACCAACGACGGAAGAAATTAGAATGGCCGTCAGACAAATCAAGAACGGGAAAGCAGCAGGACCCGACAACATACCAGCTGAAGCACTGAAATCAGACATCGAAGCAACCACAAGCATGCTGTACCTTCTATTCAAAAAGATTTGGGAGGAGGAACAAGTGCCAATGGACTGGAAAGAAGGACACCTCGTCAAGATTCCAAAGAAAGGAGATCTGAGCAAATGTGAAAACTACAGAGGCATTACACTACTGTCAATACCAGGGAAAGTCTTCAACAGAGTGTTGCTGAACCGTATGAAGGATGCAGTAGACGCCCAACTTCGAGATCAACAAGCTGGATTCCGTAAGGATCGGTCGTGCACAGACCAAATTGCAACACTACGGATCATCGTCGAACAATCAGTGGAGTGGAACTCATCACTATACATCAACTTCATTGATTATGAAAAGGCATTCGACAGTGTAGATAGGAGGACATTATGGAAACTTCTTCGACACTACGGAGTTCCTGAGAAGATTGTCAACATTATCCGGAACTCATACGACGGACTACAGTGCAAAGTAGTGCATGGAGGACAGCTGACAGATGCATTCCAAGTAAGGACTGGAGTCAGACAAGGCTGTTTACTCTCTCCCTTCCTCTTTCTTCTGGTGGTCGACTGGATTATGAAGACCTCAACATCTGAAGGAAAACACGGAATACAATGGACAACTCAGAATCAATTAGACGATTTGGACTTCGCAGACGACCTAGCCCTCCTATCACGTACACACGAACAGATGCAGATGAAGACAGCCAGTGTAGCAGCAGTCTCTGCATCAGTAGGCCTCAGCATACACAAAGGGAAAACCAAGGTCCTCAAATTCAAAGCGAAAAACAGCAATCCAATCACTCTTGATGGCGAAACTCTGGAAGATGTAGAGTCCTTCACATACCTAGGAAGCATCATCGATGAACAAGGAGGTTCAGATGCAGACGTAAAGGCGAGGATCGGCAAAGCAAGGGTCGCATTCCTACAATTGAAGAACATATGGAACTCAAAACAACTTTCAACCAATATCAAAGTGAGAATCTTCAATACGAACGTCAAGGCAGTTCTACTGTATGGAGCTGAAACTTGGAGAACTACAACAACCACCATCAAGAAAGTACAAGTATTTATAAATAGCTGCCTACGCAAGATACTCAACATCCACTGGCCGGATACCATCAGCAATAGCCTTCTGTGGGAGAGAACAAAGCAACTTCCAGCTGAAGAAGAAATTAGGAAAAGACGATGGAAATGGATAGGACATACATTACGCAAACCGTCAAACTGCATCACGAGGCAAGCCCTAACTTGGAACCCTGAAGGGAGGCGAAAAAGAGGAAGGCCAAAGAACACATTGCGTCGGATTATAGAAGCAGATATGAAAAGGATGAATTACAACTGGACGGAGCTAGAAAGGATTGCCCAGGACAGGGTTGGATGGAGAATGCTGGTGAGTGGCCTATGCTCCTTCACGAGGAGTAACAGGCGTAAGTAAGTAAGTAGATTAGTCAAATGAATATTCCTGCTAGGGTTGAAGCTATCAAGAGTTCACTTAGTCTGCGAACGAGAACAAAGACTCAGTGTCCAAAGACCAGTAAGCTAGCTATTTGTTGCGTCCCAGCTCCGCTAACTAAAGGAAGAAGACCAAGCTTGAAATGGGGAAGTATATTCTCCAAAACAGCCAGAAACAAGCGATCACAACAAACACAATTCAAAACATATATATACAGTACAAAACCGTCCTTGATGAGAGTTACCAAATAGCATAGTAAAAGACGCAACCGACCAATAGCATTTAAGATATTTCCCAGTGGGAAATACGACATGAAGGTGACAAAAGCGCCTTTGGCGCGAAAACAACGCAATTCAAATTTTCTCAATAAAATTACAAAATTTGTTCCTTTCCAAAGTGAGTTCTGGGGATCTAACGTCCACAACAATTCCACAATGAAAACGTAATTATTCTTTGCCTCCAACTATTCACCGTAATTGATTTAAATAAAAAGGAAATGTAACAGTAAAGAATGTTCAACCTTTAAAAAGAAGCAACCGACTGTTTTCTGTAATACCCCTCACATCACTATTGAAACTACGTCGGATTGCATTTCTTTTGTTTAAAGTTTGGAATGTTTGAATTTGTGTTTAAATTCAATTTTGTCGGGAATAGGAATGTGGAACATTTAAATTTGAAGGAATGAAAGATTGAATAGAACAAATTTAAGTGAGAGATGAAAAGAAGGAGTGTGTGTGTGTGTGTGTGTGAAAGAGAGAGATGGTGGAAGAGAAATACTTTGAATTAATGATTATAAGATAAAGGATGGTAATAGTTGTAAGTAACTCGTGGAAGATAATGGTAGATGAAGGTGTCATTTCGTGGACTGATTAATGTTAAACACCGGTTCAGTGGTTTAGAGGTTAAGCGTTCACGCGCGAGACAGATAGCTCCTAGGTTCGAACCCTGCGGGGCGGGATTTTGGATGCGTACTGTTACTGAGATGTCCCATACTAGGATGAAATGGCTATTTAGTCTTTCCAGGTTTTCCATAGTGACCTAACTTTAACTGACTCATGAATTCAACTACTGAAATTACTACAATCTCCCACAACCCCCCTCTTTCTGATAATAGATACTTATCAATAATACACAATACAATTAAACTGATAAAACGATCATTTAATTTTGATTGAAACCATGAGTCAGTTGAAGCTAGACCACCATGGAAAACCTGGAAGCACTGGATGGCCGTTTCGTCCTAATATTGAACTCCTCAACAAGGCATCAACAGCGCATCAACGATCCTGCACCCCACGAGATTCGAACCCAGGACCTATCATTTAATTACTAATGCATTAACATGAATCTACACTTACCATTAACTGATGTTGTATATTTGTTACATAATTCATTTGTTGTATTGACCATAGTTGTCATCATTAATGGATGATTACGTAATTGATAAATCGTTTTAATTGTTTTAATTAATTCATTTGCCAATATTATAATGAATTTTTCTAAATGGTCAATACGATTATTCTTTTGGATAAGAAAAAAAGAGATAATACAAACTATAAATTAGTAGCATGTATAATTTATTAGTAGTATATGTATATTGTCGATGGGTTGATTTGATCTTGTTATATCCGGATGAGAATAATAAACGACCACAGATGCCTTAGAAATATTGTTGGCATCTGTTGCGATCACCGCGTAAGTAATAGTGAGGTTAAACGTAGGGTATTAGAGAATGATGATAGTAAATCAGTTGATGAAGTTGTGAGTCTTCATCGACTGAGATGGTTGTGTCACGTGTTACGTATGCCTGAACATCGATTACCACGATACGCAATGCACTGTGTTCGAGATGGTTGGAAGAAAGTTAGGTGTGGCCAAACCAAAATGTGGCATCAGTGCTTGAAGACTATAACATCTAGTTTGAGCCAGACTAATAAATCCAGACTACTTGTTTGCGGTCGGTGTGACTATCGTAATCAATGTTTGGAGACTGTGTGTGACATGGCTCAGAATCGATCACAATCGTGTAGGTGTATACACTCTCTGTCTTCCCTTTAACTATTAGATTAAAGTCGCTTCATATCTTTCTTTCTATGGACTAATTCTTTCTTCCTGTACTATATCCTTATATGTAATCTTTCCTTTATATATTACCACCATTGAATTAACTACTTTTATGAATCTGGTGTTCATCTTGTTTTGATAATGCGGTATGGCAACTTGGACCGATGCATATATTTGCCTGGTCTTACGTTGTAGCTGACTAACTGACTGAACTGTTGGAATCGATTTCTGAACTAATACTATACATAGACTTTTACTGTATAATTGTTAAGTCACTAAACTATTCCTATTCGTGTCCCTTTTGTCATAAGCTTTGTTTTGACCTATGAATTATTATTCTACGATTTACCATTCTTGAATTATTCCCTGTCTATCAATTACTGTCTACCACATTCACAGCCAAATTTGGTTAGATCTTGTATGAATATTATTTCCTATTTTATGATGTGATGTGATCTGGTTGGTTTCTATATATAGACCCAGTATGTTTGAAATACATTATTCATATCGCGGAGACTGAGATTGCTGTTCTGAATCCAACAGGCACGGCTAGGTAGGAAGAAGGACTGATAAAGACTGTAGATTGCTTGTACAGATTAATGCGTTACTGTTCCGGTTGATAAGTCACTATTCTCTGATTGACGGTATCACAACATCGTATATTCATAGGGGCAAAAGACCACATAATATAACAGATCTAGTTATTTCTTACAAATTATTAAGAATAGATGGAGTAAGGCTATCAGTGAAATTCGTCTTATTAGAGGTTCATCACCTAAGTGTAACTGTATTCAAATGAATGATTGGATGAATGAATGAATGTAATTAAGTTTTGACAAAACTTAAACTGTGATCAATCATTATATTGACATCATCTTTATTGGATAAGTTGTTAGCTCTTTTTGAATAAGTTGCTAAATGGATATCGCATAAGCAGCTAATGTGAAAGATGTTGGGTTTGAGTCCTAGCGATACAAAGTCATCAATCTATACACATTGACATAGGTAAATATCATTTAGAAACAGGTTATCACAGATAGTATGTATGAAGGAATATTAGAATTGTTGATTGAGAGGTAAATGAACAGTGTATTCATCTATGGCATAGCAAGTGATAATGAACTTGATTACACAAATTCTCCAACCATTAATTGTATTTATTATACATACCTCAATCAAGCAGTCTACATTAGTTCATAGAGTCCTTATCCATAGTTCTGAATCTTATTGGTAGATGTAGACTGCCTGATTGACGTATGTTCATTATCGGTTGCGATGCCATAGATGAATACACTCTTCATTTTCCTCTCGATTAACAATTCTAATATGACGGGACTATAATTTATGGACTAACCAATCAGAGTCATCTGAAGGATTTCAAGGTCACGGTGCCACATACAAAAAGTTCATAGCGGATCATAGAGAAAACATGATAATTGAGCGGCTACAACAAATAGAAATACTAAGAAATTTCTTTTATTCGTGAATAAGGTAATCAAATGCCTTATGGACCTTGTGCAGACTATCATGATGATGTTGTCTTTTGATGTAATATGTGTTGAAGGAAGAAGTCTGTTAGAATAGGGTTTTTCGTTCGATCCAGATTAAGACCAAGGCGAACTGGATAATAAAAGCACCAGTAACACTGGCTTCAGCCAAGTAATACAATATATACGGATGATTGGAGAGCGTACAGATGCCTACATAGAATGGTTATATGCATCATGTCGTTTTTCACAGGCGGCATTCTGTGGATCCAGCGACCGGAGTGCACACAAACAATATTAAAGCTATGTGATTGTTGATTGCTGATTGATCTAAGTGTCAGACTTCTAAAAATCCTCTGATGTTTTTGGAGTTGCCTGTATCCAAAATTTCCACATTTTTCCAGTCGAATGTGTGTCCACAGTTGTCCACGTGCATTAATATAAGTGAGGAAGTATCATGGCGTTCGACTGCTGATTGACGTTCATGTAGGCGAAGATGAAGAGGGAGTCCACTTTATCAGATGTAGTGTTTTTCTCAGTTGGCACAATTTATTTTGTAGATGATGTTTGATTTGTCTTTCTTTGTTATTTCATCTTTTGGTTTGCATAAGATTGATTGTAGGGATTTTGTTGGTTTGTGTGCCACACCTATCCCGAAGGTTTTCACCGGTTTCGTTGCAGTTTCTGATATGCCTTTTATGTATAATAGGGCGATCCTTTTGTTAATTTCTGTGCTTGACTTAGGTTCTGATGCTGCGTGCGGTTGGTATTTTTTGATGAAGTTGATTGAGTAGCCATATTTTTGAAATACGTCTTTCAATTATTTCTCTTCAGAGAACAAAACAGAGAGTTTTTGCTATCTTATCATAGCTCCAGAGGTCAACTATTATGAAGCCATATAGATGAGTTTCTAACCTTGGCAAATTTCGAACCATGTAAAGTAACTGTATTCATTTCAATAGTTGAGATTATGAGTCGATTGAAACTAGACCACCTTGGAAAACCTCGAAGCACTGTACGACCGTTTCGTCCTATCATGGGATTCTTCACCAGTGCATATCCACAAGACTCACCATGCGGGATTCGAACCAAGGGTTTATCAATCTCACACGCGAACGCTAAACCACTACACCACTGAGCTTGCCTGGTATCCAGCAATGTTAATATCTAATCTCAATTAATCCACAAAATTGAGCAATATATCCATCATTGTCATCAGTCAGTTACTATCTCACTTCGATTCTTTGATCTTCATGTCAAATCTGTTGTTACTTTATACAAACTGTCCTGTGATTGGCTAATGTTTTTCAAGGTCAATTAAAGGTCGTTTAAAGGTCATCATACTCTAGCCAATAAATGATCAGGTATATATATAGATATATATCCATATTACTTACAGCACAAATACGATTGAATGGTTTCCCTTGTTTGACTAATTGATTCTCTGATTTTTCTATGGGAAAATTTTTTGCATTTTTCAATTTTTGCAAATTTAAAAAATCCGCTTTTAATTGATTTAATTGATTCATTAAATGATGATGAGATTGTTTTAATTGATTGAAATTTTCTAGAAGATTCTTTTTTTCATGAATTAAAATAGTTAATTGAATATGTTGACATTTTTTAGTTTGTTTTAATTGAATTTCAGAGAATTTTAAATGTTCATTCATTTTTTCTTTAGTTAACTAAAACAAAAAATAAAAGGAGAGAAAGTCAGATTATAAGTAGTGGATGATCTTTGAGAGAGGGAGAGAGAGAGAAAGAGAGGAAGAGGTTAAAGTGACCTTGAGGGAGCACACTTACTTTACTTTTCTTACTTACTTATGCCTGTTATCTTCTAGGGGAGCATATGCCGTCGACCAACATTCACTAACTCACTCTCTCATGGGGCCATCCTATCTAGTGCTACCCCAATTGTTGTTCATTCTTCTCGTGTCTGTCTTCATTTCTCGGTGTAATGTGTTCTTTGGACTTCCTTTTCACCTTCAGTCTTGAGGATTCCAAGTGATGAGAGCTTGCCTTGTGACACAGTTGAGTGCTTTCCTCAATATGTGTCCTATCCACTTCTAACGCTTCTTACTGATTTCTTGCTACGGTGGGATCTGGTGTGTTCTCTCCCACAGTAGGTTGTTGCTGATAATGTAGGAATGCTTTGCCAATCCTCGCCTTTACGTTTGCATCGGGTCCTCCTTGTTGATTGATGGTGCTTCGCAGATATGTGAATCTTCTCACCTCTTCCAGAGTTTCTCCATCAAATGTGATTAGTTTGGTGTTCTAAGTGTTTATTTAAGGATCTTGCCTTTCCCTTTTTTGTGTTGAGGCCTACTAGTGCAAAGGCTGCTGCTACACGAGTTCTCTTCATCTGCATTTCTTCGTGTCTATGGAAGAGAAGGGCCAGGTCATTTGAGAAGTCCAGATCGTCTAACTGATTCTGAGCTTTACCTTAGATGTCGAAATCTTTATAATCCAGTTGACCACCAGAAGAAAGAAAAAGGAGGAGTAGCGTTGTCTGACTCCGATCCTCACTTGGAATACATCTGTTAGCTGTCTTATATTGGTCAACATGAAATATATTTCATTACAAAACATTTATATATTATAATCATTATATAATTTATAAACTAGCTTACTAATTCATTTCGAAGATCTATTTGTTCAGCAAGTACACATTGAAGACGTATTTTCAATTCTTCAATGCATTGACGTCGACGTTTTGTTTCATTTTCAAGTGTATTAATTTTATTCTTCATGTTGTTATGTTCAATCCGTTTACGATCTATTGCTCCTTGAAGTTGATGAATAATATTATCAGAGAATTCTTTTATGAATTTCTACATACAGAAAAAAAATATGTGTGATCATCTTTTGATAAAATCTTCAAAAATGTTAGCCGATCAGAGATCAATTAATATAGAAGATTAATCGGCGAGACTATAATTTATGGATGATCTTTCAATGAGTCTTAAGTGACTTTGGGACATATTAGCCAATAAGCAAACAGTCAGTATAGAGTAAAAATATATTATACAAAACCAAGAGAATAAAGTGGATACACTTCTTATACGTGGTTCAAAAACTCGTCAAGGTTAGAAACAGGTTCAGAGGTTCTAAAATCCTGATGCATGCAGTAGAGGAAATCATCCATACGACTACACGATAGTCAGCCTCTGGAATCATGATAAAGTCTCCAAAACTCTTTCACCCTCCACCACATAGCTTCAATATTGTTTATGTGCATTCCAGTTGTTGAGTGCACAAAATTCTACTTGTGGATAACGACACGTTGCACATAACCAAGCCTATGTAGGAGTGTGTACGCTCACCAACCATCCTTATATATCGTAGTACCTGACTGCAGCCAGTGTTACTGGTGCTTTTATTATCCAGTTCGCAATAATTGTCATAATTTGCCTTAGTCAGGAATTATATATATATATTGGGTTTTCATCAAGAAATTACATCAGCTATAATACCTGAAATTTATTTAGCCAAATGGATGAGAAGCTTTTGCGTTAAAATCCGAGATCTATCATCTTATTATTCGTCTACAAATTATAGTCTCACCGTTTTATTTGTTATAGCCACTCAATTATTACGTTTTGCATAAGATCCCCTGTGAACCGAATGTACGTTAGCATTAAGCACTGAAGTTGGCGCCGTGACCTTAAAATCTCTCAGACGCTCCTGAGTGGATCGTCCATAAATTAGAGTCTCACCGATTAATCTATTATAAAGCCTAGAAAGTTCTGAATACTAGAGATAGGTTTAAATATTTAGGTATCATAATGAATATGGTATAGAATTTCAACTGTGTAATTCGACAATAATCGACCTTTGGAACTGTAATAAGGTCATTGAAATGTTTTTAGTCTTGAATGCGCCTATTCTATGTTGTTCATGCAGACGACCATTGTGTAATCTACAAAGCATTTTTCGTGAGCGATAACACTATGAAGTTAGATAAATCTGAATAGTTCAGTATATGGTTGTACCTAGTTGGACATACTCCTTTATAACTGGTACTAACGTTATTGATTGGTAGTTTCTGATGTTTTGAAAATGTTCTTTCTGTAATGTTCTATCACGTACATCGAAGACCTGATAAGTTGATTCAAAGAACTGTTGTTTACCCAATCTCCTTGTATACTTCTTGCTCTATTAAAAATCTAGTATTCCGGACGACCGTTTCATCAATTTGCACTCTTCTTCTGATAGCTCAGAACGATAGATTTAAATGCATTATCTTTGTATCGTACGTATCTTTGTAATACTCATACCATCGAATAATTGTAGCTTCAGCAACATAAGCACACGTTTCAGTCGGTGTCAGTGATTCTCTCATGATCCAGTTGAGAAGAATCAGCATAATTTGCCGTAATGATGATCGAAAACAATCAAAAAGTACTTCCGTTCTCGCAGATTCTTGTTTCCAACACACACTGCATCGAAATGATTACAGTGGTCTTGAGCGCTGTTAGAGGTATGAGGGCGGTTATCACTTCCCGGTTGCCCACACAGTGGAAGGGTTGTTCTAGAGGTACCTCAGAAGGAAATTGGATTAGAGGTGGCCTTAGTGACCTGGGAGCGTGACCGCAGTGCCCAAAGGACAACTGCTTGAGGTCGGTCACACACGACCTTTTTATGAGTAATTTTTGTGTTAGCTCCACACTTGTTGAGACCTTACCGCCGGAGACGGATATCCGTGGGATAAGGCGAGGTGTGCATTTTTAGGGTCGACCTTTTCTAACCCCACCCCTCCTTGTGGGGAGGCAGCATCGCTGTCATGCTGGTTGTCTGAAGGAAATACCTCTGTACAGTCAGTAGTACGACTTCGCCTTCGAACCTCGGGTTTGTTGCTTTTAGTCTTACCGCTCTTCAACCGACCTGTCTGACATGGTAGGACCTTGAGGAACAGTTGTTACGGCCAGTATAGCTCGGTTGCTTCATCACGATAGGCAAGCCCGACCACCACGTCAAGGTAGCAATAACGGTCGAGTGCATCGAAATACTGCATAATCGTGAAAGCCCATGTATTACCAAGCCACTTGAAATCTCAATCATAAATAATGGAGCTTTTTGAAAATTCCTGTTATTATAATCATCTTTGAAACCAGCGATAAATCGATCGCAGATACGGATTTTACATTTATACATTGAACATGACCTTGAATTCGCTCAGTAAATTATGATTTGCTCGTCCATGAAATATAATCGCGCTATTCTTTCACTCAACATACAGTGTGTTTGTTGTACTGCGCGGTTCAATGATGACAAAACAGCATGATTAGCGTTATGAACTATCTCATCAGTAAATCAATTCTTTCAGGACGCCAGAGAAGTCTTATTGTATAATACTAAACATTAGTGGATATACAGTATCTCAACTTCACATAAGTTTGTACACATTTAATTTTGTTAAAACGTTCACTTAACTTATTTAACAGACAGTATCGTTCGGTCAGTAAAATTTTTTCTATATGTTTGTATGATCATTATCGTATTTCTATGAACATGTATGCTTGATCACGTGTTACAGACTACACCCATATCCCTCTAACTAGCTTAAATGTTAAGCAACGATAGATAGTGGTCAGCAGTGGAATCCGGGACGCGCGTTACGTCCAATTCGCGCCTGGTTAGATGGATATACCTGCATCTCGGAGTTGATGCTCACGAGATGGTGTTTGAAGAGAATGGCATTGGGTTCGAGTTTTAAATGAAACGAAACGCGCGTCCTGGATTCCGATGCTAGCCGCTATCCATCTTTGTTCAAAATGCTTGTGAATTAAGGCAATATGCACAGGATGCATATATGCCAATAAGAGACTAATCAACTGCAGTCCTAAATAACGATAGGAGGATACAAGTAAAAGAATACCAAGTGAGTTTCAGCTTAAATGTTAGTTGCTTAAATCATTCAACGACTCATTAACCTCACTGTATATAAATGTGCTTCTTAAGTTCTATTAATGCTCTCACTCGCATGCATTGTATTCTCACTTCTGTTCCTATTCACTTCATGTCCCTGAGGTCTTGTGATCGGTGCTGTACAATATTAAACTGTGATCATTGTATTGTCTTTAGAAACTTACCGTTGAGGGTTATCTAATAAAGAAATTATCCCAAAGATACATTGTAGTGAACAAGAACCCAACTGGGGACAATCGGATGTATTGCAGTCCAAAATTACAGAATCACTTAGTAAAATCTGAGAACCATACAGTAAATACTTCATTTGCAAAATGTCAATCAATCGTCTCAGACTTCATTATTCTTTCAAATCCACACTAATCATCGTCTGTTCTCGTTCTCTTTCCTTTGGTCTTCCTAATCTTTTTACTTACTTACTTACGCCTGTTACTCACAATGGAGCATAGGCCGCCTACTAGCATTCTCCAACCCACTCTGTCCTGGGCCTTCTTTTCTAGTTCCATCCAATTCTTGTTCACTTTTCTCATGTCTATTTCCATTTCCCGGCGTAATGTGTTCTTTGGTCTTCCTCTCCTCCTTTGGCCTTGAGGATTCCATGTGAGGGCTTGTCTTGTGACGCAGTTGGGGGCTTTCCTCAATGTGTGTCCTATCCACTTCCAACGCTTCTTCCTGATCTCCTCCTCCGCTGGAATCTGGTTCATTCTTTCCCACAGTTCGTTGCTGCTAATAGTGTCCGGCCAACGGATCCAAAGTATTTTGCTTAGACAACTGTTAATAAACACATGTATCTTCTAGATGACGGCTTTTGTAGTTCTCCAGGTTTCCGCCCCATACAGTGAAACTGTGTTGACATTCGTATTGAAAATCCTGACATTGGTGTTGGTTGACAGACAGTTGATTTGAGTTCCAGATGTTCCTCAGTTTTAAATATGCTGCTCTTGTTTTACCAATCCGCGCTTTCACATCTGCATCGGATCCACCCTGTTCACCAGTGATGCTGCCCAAATATGTAAAGGTTTTTACATCTTCCAAATCTTCTCCGTCAATTTTGATTGGATTGGTGCATGCTGTGATATATCGGAGAATCTTGATTTTCTCTTTGTGAATATTGAGACCTACTGTTGCTGAGGCTGCTGCTACACTAGTCGTGTTCTCCTGCATTTGTTGTTGCGTTTGCGACAGGAGGACCAGATCATCTGCGAAGACTAGATCGTCCAGCTGCATCCTAGATGTCGGCTGTATCCCGTGTTTCCCTTCAGATGTTGACGTCTCCATGATCCAGTCGATCACCAGGAGAAAGAGAAAGGGTGAGAGTAAGCAACCTTGCTTGACACCGGACTTTACTTTGAGCGAGTCTGTGAGCTGTCCTCTCTTAATCTTCTACTGCTAGGTATTTCACTTTCGATTGATGATACATACTATTTTATGTCTATGGACATCAGTAGCACACACTACACTCGTGTTTAAAACAGTCATTCTTGCGGTGGTTCTGCTCACAACAACCACATTATAATTAGTAAGATATGAAGTATGTGGAGAGGATTCAATTTAAAATTAGCTTACACCATAGACAACTGTATCCCATCAATAAGCTATTGTAAATTATACTTCTCTAGTAAAACTATATCAACAACCATGTAAACTCATGAACACGAAATGGATCATATCTGTTTACATTTGTACTGTATAGTAAGAAGAATGTTTCAAACAAGGTGGAGAGTGTAAAGCACATTCTTACTTACTTTAGAATTCATATTTTCCAATGATTGTGATGTGTTATTCTCAGATTGATTATTATCTATATTCAATTGTTTGATGGTGTTATACAGTTTGATTAAATGCATTTTAATACTCTGGAAATTAAAAATATACACAGATATAAATGTATTTTAACACAACATTACAGAACCTTTTAGTAAAATTTGAGCACCAAAAATGCCCTGGTATGGTCGAGGGTGGGGAGGGTCAGTACCCCTCTCCAAATGCTCTCACATGACCATGTGCATGCAACCACTTATCAGAGAAGTCCTACTCACTGCCTTCTTGCACCACGGATGTTGTTTACTGAATTGAGAGGATAGAAAGCAAATGTCCGGCGCTTTAACCAGATTGGTGGATATGGATTCTAAACCAATGGTGCATATGGAGTCCAGGGTCGTGAAAGAATGGATGTCGTATGAACCAATCGTTGGTCACCGGCTACCATGGGACTTCATCTCCTAACATTGCTCTACTGCTCTGTGAAATAGACTTTTAGGTTGAAGGCTCCGGGTGTGGTCCCCTAAGAAAACTACCTGCTTCGGTTTGGGCACTGGGGTAGTATCATAGCCCCCACCGAAATCAAGTGATTTGTGTAGCGAATATGTATTTGGTACCCCTTTCTACCAATATTTATGTGTTCACATAAATGAATAAAACAGATACAAATGGATTCGTTGAAACATTCTAAATGTATGTGATAGTTCCTTACTCCAATCTGACATATACTACTTAATAAAGCTGTTAATATAATTAGCATTTTTATTCATTGGTTAAGTTTCTTTTAAGTGTGTAGTACACAATTAAAACATACTGATTATGTTCACTTAGTATTGTTTACTTGAATCTTCACATTGATGTTTAGCATTGCAATTGATCAATCCCTTATTGGCACACGTGTACACTGTGAGTATTGTATCTATATTGCCTTATATCACAAGCTTTTTAAACAATGATGGATATTGGCTAGCATTGGAATCTAGAACATGCATTTCGTCCCATATGAAACTCATCAGTAATTGGTCAATCGATCAATTACAGTTATAAACATCAATGAAAAGATTTAAACAAACATGACTAAATGATCATAACAAAGGGAATTCATTGGTAAATGAACAACATTTATTATTAACCTATATTTGCTTACCTCAATTGTACGTTTAGTTCGAATATTTTGTTTACGACTTCTATGTAACATATTACTTAATGATTCAATTACATTATTCAATTCATGATTTGATTGTTCCGCTGTTAATTTCAATTTTCTCATAACTTGATACTATACAAAATTATAATGAATGTGTTATAAGTAGTATATATTGTCATAGTAAACACTGATTATAAATATAATACAAAATGATTGAGATTAATTAGGTTAACTACTGATCACAATTAGTTGATCACTGGGTGGTTATCAATATCATGTGTGTCAAATCCTTCTTTAGTGCAGATCAAATGCTATCGAATAATTTGCAGTGTGACCACTAGTGGAGGTGACTCAACATTGCATGTACTATGTTGAGATAAGATGGTGGTTGGAAATAGTCAACAAGAAAAACTTGGGCCCGGGTTTTGTGTTACTTGGCACTCGCCAACAAGGTGTACCTGTAATCTTGAGGGAACTAGTGCTTCCTGACGGATCCAATCCCATGTCATCCAGCTTCATAATCAGAGACGTTACCACTAGGCTATCCGGGAAACGACTAACCTCCTATTAACTACTGATAATTTATTCTGTTCTACGATCTAATCCGGTTAGCAGTACATACTGAGATAGTAGAGAAGATTTGTAGTTCGGGTGGATAATTTTGATGGAGTTTTGTTCTCTGAGTTGGATGATTTGGTCGTAAAGATTTCATCGTTCTTCTGAACGACATCATCAGTACAAACTTCAGATAGAAGTAAAGTGTCCGGATTTCTCCACATATGGCTTACAGCTAGTCCTGTAGGCTACACTTGTTGACCTTTAACCTGTAATTGTTTACTTCTTTGTCTTGGTTGTATTTCCCGTTGGTTTGATTTTTTGTTCGTATGTTTGTCTATAATTTTCTTGATTGGTTGATAAACTCGATAGATTTCAATGTGCTTGTTGATTGCTGATTGATCTGAGTGCCAGGCTTCTAAAAATCCTCTGATGTTTTTGGAATTTCCTCTGTCCAAGATTTCCACATTTTTCCAGTCGGATGTGTGTCCACAGTTGTCCACGTGCATTAATATAAGTGAGGATATGTCATGGCATTTGACCACTAATTGATGTTCATGCAGACGAAGATGAAGAGGGCGTCCACTTTGTCCGATGTAGTGTTTTTCTCAGTTGGCACAATTTATTTTGTAGATGATGTTCGGTTTGTCTTCTTTTGTCATTCCATCTTTTGGTTTGCATAAGATTTATTGTAGGGGTTTTGTTGGTTTGTGTGCAACACATATTCTGAAGGTTTTCAGCGGTCTCGTTGTAGTTTCCGATATACATTTTATGTATGCTAGCGTGATCATTTTTATGCATTACATACTTTCTAACATTAACCATCACAGCAATGAAGAGGGAGAAGATAGCTTATGCACACAACTTTTATGTACAGATATATGTGTGTGAGATGAGCATGACCAAATGAATAACAGTCGGATCTACAACGCATCAGTGAGACCAGTTTTGCTGCATGCTTGTGAAACGTAACCCCTCCGAGTTGAGGAGACTATCGGTGTCTGCAAAGGATTGTTGACATTCAGTGACAACATCATGTTAGTAATCCGGAGGCTCAGCATCATGTGTTCGGGCACAGTGACGATACTTCGCTTAGTATCACAATATTGAAACATCGACTTCGGTGGCTTGGATATGTACTACGAATGTCGTTCCAGAGAATTCTCATGTCGTGTATTATTTACTAACTCTGGAACTGGTTGGAAAAAGCGGAGGTGGTCAGTGTATGATATGATGTCACGTCACATTACAGGACTGGTTTCTGTTGGTCCTTCATGACTCCCTGGTTGAGGGCCTAGAGGTAGTGAAACACAGTGGCTAGCGATATTATCAAACACGGTTGAGAATAGAAGCCAGTGTCAATCCTGCTGTAACTTCCCAGAAGTTACCCGTAGTTTAATCTTCACTAGGATATAACAATTATAACAGTCTTTTGACAGTTCTTTAGGCTTAACCAGCTTAAAATTCATTAGTATCAATTACGGTTGAAAGTGAGAAGCATATCATATTTGACTCAGCCTGTCTAAAACCATATCATGAGCACTGTAGAATGTGTAATTTCTAGCTTCAATCCTGTATTAGTACCTAAGTCAGATTGAGACAAGGTTCATATTTCACTAATATTGATCATTATACTATTGAATTTATCAGTTGCCATTGGGGAATGAATTGTGTCAATAAACACTTCGATATGATCTACTCATTCAAATCAAATTACATTTTGAATTGGAGCTAGAAATAGGATTCAGAAAACATGTTTCATCTTATGTAAATCTAAATCTAAAATTTATTCATTTAAACACAAAAACATTGATAAAAGGAGGCGCCAAATACATATGCACTACATAAAGCATTCTAGTGGCGTGAGAGCTGTGATACTGTCCGGTTGCCTAAACCAAAGCAGTTTGAGATACAATCCGTAAAATGTTGTTTAGTGATAAATATGCCTGGATAGTTTTGCCTATCAATTTATTTATTTGAACACAAATATTGGTACAAAGGGGCACCGTATACGTATGCGCACTTGATTTCTGTGGGGGTTATGATACTGCCCGGGTGCCCAAATCGAAGAAGGTGGTTTTCTTAGATGGCCACACTCGGAGCTTTTGATCTAAAAGTCGAATCCCTAAGACAGTGAAGCAATGTCAGGAGATACAGTCCCATGGTATCCGATCATCAGCGATTGGTTCATACACCATTTGTTCTGCTTAGGATCCTGGGGCGCATACACTCCATTAGTTTGGAACCAGTGTTTTCCAACTCCGCTAAATGAATCCTCCATATCCACAAACCAGGTTACAGTGCCAGATATTCGTTTTTCGTCGTCTCAATTTAGTAAACAACATCTCCACCTTGATAAAGCAGTGAGTAGGACATCCCTGTCAGTAGTTGTATGTACGTGGCCATGTGAGAGCACTTAGAGGAGAGCTGACTTTCTCCACTCCAGGTCGTACCAAGGCATATGGGCGCTTACATCAAAACCGGCCAATTATCTTAATTCTGAATATTATATTCAAGTGTCACCGTGATGCAGATTAACAATAGGAATTCAAAATCACTGATTGGACAAGTCGTAGAAAGGATAAAAAAACACCTATTATGACTTCTATTATTACCCATTAAGTCCAGTTAAAGAACTCATCAAAGTATCTAAGATGTAAAAATAAATTTCATACTTGTTGTATTAAAGAATTATAACGTTGATTCAATAATTCATAAGAACATTGAATTTCTGATAAATGAGGTATGGTATTTTGTGCTTTGAGTAATTCAATAGCACGTTTCCTTGATCTATATATACATATGTGTTAAACAAAAAATAAAAAATAAAAAAAAGAAACAAAGTTCAAAGATAGTTCCCATCATGGACTGAGAAAGAGAGAGAGTTAAAAATGGCAATTAGTTTGAAACTGATTGTAACCATGACAACAACAAGGTAACATACCAAGTAGAAGACTTTCGAGCCAAAATCCGAGATCTATTATCTTATATCTGATTGATTCGTCCACAAATTATAGCCTCACCGTTTTATTTGTTATAGCTGCTGAATTATCACGTTTCGTACAAAATTCCCTGTGAACCGATCGTATGTTAGTATTAAGTAGTGAAGTTGGCGCCGTAACCTTGAAATCTCTCCGACGCTTCTGATTGGCTCGTCCATAAATTAGAGTTTCGCGAGAAATAATCATTCAGTGCTCTCTAATCTGGTATGATCTCTTCAACAGATATTAGCATATGATGAAAATCATCATCATATTACCACAAGTTATTAAAATGTAAACAATATAGTCATTGAGATTCCGTTCAATAATATTCAGTCATTATGAAAGCCAATTTGATTCGACATTTCTAAACACGGTACACTCATGAGTTTATTAACTTGGCGTGTATCAGGAATCACAACATTATCTTAATAGTTGTTATGTTCAAACCTCATTCATTTCTTGGTATCATGGGATTATTAACCAGGATTACTAGTCGATTTTGTAGATGACGGTATGGAATTCTTCATTTAATATGAAAAGTCTCCGCTTACGTTTCTTAATCATCTAGCCTATTTGAATTCAAGTAATGGTAATTGTAGAGGTAGTAGTACTGGAGTGTATGGTACATATGTTGACAGGCATAAATAGTACGTAACAACAACCAGAAGTAGAATGTATGGCAGTAGAAGATTGAGAAGATTGTAATGAAGAGAACAGAAATGTAAACTGAGAGTAATTGTAATAACATCAAAAATGAAGGAACGATGAAGTTTGTAGGAAACAATTGATGGGTGATGTGCAAATAAATTATTTTATGTATTGGTGTTTCCCACTTCGGTGATTGCTCACATCACTGCTAGTAGTGTAGGAATACAGAATAAGATTCAAGAATGATAAGAATGTTGGCAGAATACACGTTTCTCTACTTCTTAAAATAATGAGTTGTCGCAGTAAAAGTGGCATTGTTCGTAGTACGTGCAGGTCTTCAGTTCCATGTTGGTCTTATACTTTGTCTTCTACGTAAGGGCAGTTACGCTGAGCGAGTTGGTGCTGGTGCTCCAGTCTATCTAGCTACATTTCTCAAATACCTGGCTGCAAAAGTTTTGAAGTTAGCTGGTAATGCCATTCGTGATAACAAGAAGACTTACATCATTCCAAGACATATAAAATAGTTTTACAAGATTGAATGGATCTACATGATTTTCATCTATGGTTGTTTCCCTTAACTAGTTAGTCTGAGATTATTAACAAGGTTTAGGGTAACAGTCAATGAATTTATGAAATCAAATCATGTTTTAGTTTGGGAGCCCCCCCTTGATCTTACTAAATATAATATTAAACTTGTGAAAGGAATTCATAGTTGTGAAGAAGAATTTCGATTATACTATACAGTCTACATTGAATAGTTTAATCAAGACGTCTTTATTGACATACTAGTTAACATCAATGCAGGTGAATTCAAGAAGAAACAAACTATTATATATGCATCAGAAGGGATTTGTGAAGATTGTAGCAATTTCAAAAGTTGAGATCATGAGTCAGTTGAAGTTAGACCATCATGGGAAACCTGGAAGCACTAGACTGCCGTTTCGTCCTATTGTGGAACTCCTCAGCAGTGTGCATCAACACCCCCGGCCTCGTGCGATTCAAACCCAGAACCTATCGATCTTGCACATGAACGCTTAACCAATAGACCACTGAGCCTGTATCCAATGTGGTTAATATCTAACTTCAACCAATCCACATTCATAGGGGGCACACTACTAAAGAATCTCATACTAGGAAGAAACAGTCATCCAATGTTTCCAGGTTTTCCATGGTAATCTCCACAAACCCCCCCCCCGTTCCTAATAATTTTCAAGTTAACATGATGAATAAATTCACTTACTTGATTAAACTTGTTTTATAATTATTGATCAATTTTAATTTTGGCTCCTTATTTAAATGTTGTTTTATTATCAATTTAGAAGATGTAATATCCGATTTATTATGATCATTATCATCATGATTTAATCTCATTAATGGATCATCATTTTTCTTAGGACTATTCATATATGAATGTTGATTACAATCATTAAGATCATTGAAATTTTTTGATTTATAGTTGTATTCTTGAAATTCAACTTGAATGTTCGTCTTGAATGATATTTGAATGTTTCAATGGAACAAGTATATTCAATGATGATCTATGATAAAGAAGAAGTGATGATAAGATTAGTTGAATTGATAAGAATGGATAGTTTTTTTGGGTAGTGATTACATTCTGTAATGTATGTGGGATATGTGGGGGGTGGGGTGGGAGGTTTTTATTGTTTTTTTTTCGATTACTGTTTATACTTTTACTATCACTACCATTATGGGATTTGAATTGAAAATTAGTATTTTTGTGGTAATATAACGTTTTTTTAGCGAGTTAGTTTTCTACGGGATAGGGTCGCTAACCCCATGTCCAACCCTAATCCTTTATCCGGGCATGGAACCGCTAGTAGCCCCCGTAGTGACTCCAGGTGGAGTAAGTAATTTTTGTGGTAATGTGTTATGGTAAATTGAACTGATCTACGTACTTACGTACGTACGAAGTTCTACGTTGGTGTTGTTGATTGACTGAATGATAATAGTGTTAGTAGTCCGTATTATATTTAATAACAAATATGCCTTTGTCATTCATGCTTTATTACAATTGATAATCAAGTACATTACTTACTTCATTGATTTAAAAACTATCTTGGTTGGTGTAATGCTTGTTTTAATAAATAAAGTTCTTTGGAAATTTAGTTTAAAATATTCTTGTCGTTTATAGTTTGAATCACAATCTAACCCTAGTTAGACTGTCAATGAAGAACTGAAAGTACTGGACGGTTATTTTGTTCTACTATTGAACTACTCAGCAGTTTACATCCAATACATCCGCCCGAAAATGCCCTGGTAGGGTCGAGAGTGGAGAGAGTCAGCTCTCCCTCTACAAATGCTTTCACATAGCCACGCGTATACAGACACTGATCAGTAAAGTCCTACTCACTGCCTTCAAACGGCGGGGGGTGTTGTTTACGAAATGAATGCCCAGCGCTTTAACCGGGTTGGTTGTGAAGACTGTGGATCTACTTAGGGCAGTTGCAAAACCCTGATTCTAAACCAATGGTGCACATAGGCTACAGGATTCTGAAGAAATAAATGGTGAATGAACCAATTATTGGTCACCGACTACCATGGGACTGCATCAACTTACGTTGCTCCACTGCCTTATAGATCAGACCTTTAGGTCGAAGATCTCGGGTGTCATCCCTAAGAAAACACCTGCTTCGGTTTGAGCACCTGGGTAGTATTACAGCCCATACACAAATCAAGTGCCTTGTGTGCAGTATATGTGTGTCGTGCCTCCTTGTACCAACATTTATGTGTTCAAATAAAACAAATAAATAAATTATCCGGAAATCGAACCTAGGATATTTTGTCACCCGCGAGAATGCTTAACCCATTGATCACTGAACCAATATATACTTATGTACATGCCTAATTCATTATCCTACATTGCTTGTGCTGGATAGCCATCTCATGTTTGACATAGTTGAGCTCTATTGGTCACTGTTTCTCATTACTACTCTAGAAATCGCATCTTAAAGCTAGTAACAATCAAGCACTTGATTATTATCAGTATAAAACGTTTATGGAGATTATAGTGCTTCCAGGTTTTCAATCATGGTCTAGCTAAGACAAGTTCCTGAGTTAAACAATAAAATTTCTACAAACCCAATAAATCTGTCTATCCTTACAATAATCTCATTCGTTTGTATCCCACATAAACAACTAGACCTAGAACAAAGCACTGACAATTTGTCTGTATTGTGTTTGTCACATGATGATCTCAGTTGGTGTACCACTAAAACACGGAGAATAATGGATAGCTGTTACGTCTCAGTTTAAGAATTCTAAATAGGATACATCAAAATCCTCACCAACGACTTAAACCATGACCTTTAGGTCTCGTGGTCAATCGCTTGCCATTAAAATAACTGGATCGGTGTCAACATATGTTACAGTCTGAGGATTATTCAATATTATCCAGGTAACATTTATTTTATTGCTGACATGTATGAATCATACCAGTCACTATTTCATATTAAGACTTGAAGAAAATCAAAAAGTAAGTAAGTCCCTTTTTAAGCTGACTATCTTACTGCATGCGTTTAATTGCGGATTGTATTCATCACAAGTTAAATAGATTTTGAATAAAAATCAAACTTACTTTAACCAAGATAGTTTATGATGTTGAATTGAACGATGCTTCGATTTCATGTATTTCAGTCTAGCTGAAAGTAAACGACAATGATCTTCTAATTTTCTAAAATAAATTATATTTAAAATTTATCAGTATAGAGTAGTGAAGATTGTTAAGTTTAGATTGATATCATGAATGGAAACGATATTAGACCACCATTGAAAACCTAAGAGTACTAGACGGCCATTACGTTCTAGTGTGGGACTCCTGTCGGGGATGTTAGATCCCCAGAACTCACTTGAGAAAAGACCTAATTTTGTAACTTTATTTAGAAAATTTGAATTTTCGCGACAAAGGCGCTTTTGTCACCTTCATGTCGTATTTCCCACTGGGAAATATCTTACATGCTATTGGTCGGTTGCGTCTTTTACTATGCTATTTGGTAACTCTCCCCAATAACGGTTTTGTACTGTATATATAGGTTTTGAATTGTGTTTGTTGTGATCGCTTGTTTCTGGCTGTTTTGCAGAATATACTTTCCCATTCCAAGCTCGGACTTCTTCCTCTAGTTAGCGGTGCTGAGACGCATGAAATAGCTAGTTTACTGGTCTTTGGTCACTGAGTCTTTGTTCTCGTTCGCCGATTAAGTGAACTCGTGACAGCTTCAACCCTAGAAACTCCTCAATAGCGTGCATCGGCGAACTTTCATGCAGGTTCGAGTCCTAGAGTTTTAGTGAGAAGCTGTGATCAGTGGAGTTCAACCACGTCTGTTGTGAGGCAGTTGTTTAAACTTTCACATAGAAGTTCAGGAGTGTATATGGTCAATCTCTTGTTGGTATATGTACATCCTATGCGGATTATTGAATTTATGTAACCTCATAGATTATTTAGTCTTTAAATAAACGTTTGGTTTGACTTCTAATTACATCATCGTTTTTTTTCTCTCACTCTATGTAAACCCTTATCATAAACTGATTAAAGTTAGACACATACACCATAAGTAATTTAGAGGTGAGGCATTGACGAACAAGACTGAATGTCCTGATTTGTATTCTCAGTGTTGGAGTCGTGATTGCGCACTGTCTTAAAGTTCCATACTACGATGAAATGATCATCCAATGTTTTCAAGTTTCCATTGGTTATCTAACTTAGACCAGTTCATAACTTCAATATACTGTGGACTCATTCAATGGATACAAACGAACATATGTTAGCATTCACTGAAACTAACTTCTTCTCTTCATCTCTAACTATGAGTTTAGAATATTGACATGCCAATATTTCATGGAATAAGTTCTACTTTAATATCGATAAAGATCAATTTAGATAACATCCAACATTAAAGAGAAAAAAAATGAATTCGGTCAGTATTACTCATCGGAAAGTGAAACAAAAAAAACGGAATGATTCCCTGTAGAGAAGGTATGTAAGTCAACTCGATTTAACCAAGTAAGAATAGATATTTATATTGAAACATGTGATGAATAAGATAAGGCAGTAAGATGAAGTAACTGTTTTGTTATTATCAGTAATTCCATAGATACACAAAGCTACAACGCTACAGGGTTCGAACTCAAAAATTTCAAGTCTGTTAGCGAATCCTTAACCATAAGATCATTGAATGCACAGTATGAAATTCAATCACTTTGAAGGAGTTGTATGTGTGACTGATACTTTCTAATTTATAATAATAATAATAATATCTTAACTAAGCTACAAGCTATATTGCTATGTAGAGCTGATGGTCACATATGAGACTGGAGGTCTGCCATTGATATTGTGGATGGTTCGGCATTACTTTGGCAAGTTGTGCTGACTGTTCATGCACAAAATTCGTTTGCTGTTTAACAAATTTCATTCATACTGGTGGTTGCTTTCCAATGTTCTCAAGGGTCATTTTAATCGGGACATTGTAAGGCATGTCGCCATTGCTAACATTATTGAGTTTGACTATCGTGTAATCGGAATAGGTCAACTTTGGCCTGTTCATACTCTGTATATAACTGTACATGTGACATGAATATGTATATGAATGGTGCGAATGGTTCACCAGGATGCTTGGTACCTGCAGGGTTGCACCACAGGATTGAGCTCTACTATTTAGATTGTAGCGTTGAAGCCTATACGGTGTCTGGCTCTCCTGTTAAACGGGATTGAGCTGTACTATTTGGGTTGTCACCTGAGAGTCTGGATGGTGTTTGCTTCTTTTGAAAACCAATGTAAACATACCCTGGACCACAAGGGTATATTATATAACTATATAACTAACCTTATTCTGTATAAAACAATCAAATATAAATACAATCAATCTACACTTCAAGTCACTTCAATTAAAACATACATTTTACTTACTTTTGTTTTTCTTCCCAGTAAGCATGCATTTCATTTAGCTGACATTTCAACTGTTCATTCTCATGTTGAATGTTTGACCACTAAAAAAAGAGATTGATTAAGAAATACTGGCTGTTTACCTTATTTTTTACGAATTTTAAACTTATCATAGAGTAGACATGTGATATGTGCTACTTATATCAACATAAGTAGTAGATTATAATGCTGGTTAGGAATAGAATATCTGGCAGCAGAAGGTTGAAAAGATCGAGAAGGAAAGAACGAAAACAGAAGCCATTCGGTATGGAAATGTAGGAACATGGAAGTCTAAGAAGATTAACTGATATTTACAAAAGGAACATTCACGTTTGAGACAACTGATTGATATTTTGCAAATGAAGTATTTACTGTATGGTTCTCAGATTTCAATAAAAAGTTCTGTAATTTGGTGTACGATTGCATTCAGAAGGGTTTTTGTAGAGATTGTAGTAATTTCAGTAATTGAGGTCATGAGTCAATTGAAGCGAGATCACCACGGGAAACTTGGAAGGACTGGACGGTCGTTCCGTCCTATTGTGGAACTCCTCAGCAGTGGGCATCCACAACTGCACCTCGCGGCATTTGGACCCAGGACCTATCAGTCTCGATTGTTCTCTTTCATCATAGTTATGTTGCAGTGTAAGAAGGGTAAATTTTCTCATTCTTTAAAAGCAGGTAATTTTTCAAAGCATTTTATACTCCATCGTTTTACTGAATTTACAACATTTCGCAGATGACCTAGCTCGTCTATGTGATGAGTCTTGCAGCTTGAACACAATTCGTTTCTCAAGCTATTCTGTAACCCCCAAGCTAGAACTACACAGCGACCCAAACACAAAGGAAAAGACGCAAAGTATGCGAGAAGTACTTTACCCCAAGGTTCAGTTCAATGCAGAAAATACAGGGTTTTTATAATATTTTAAATGTCCTTTGGTTGCTAGAAGATTCTGGAATGCTACTGAACACAGTAGCAGTGTACGAATCAGCCAATCAGAACCTCTGCATGTGACGTTTCGCCACTACAATCTCCACAAAACCCCTCCTATGTTGAATGTCAAGTTTACCTCATTTGAAAATAACAAAACTAAATTGTATGACATTGAATATTCTATCGTGGTTGATCATGATTATGAACCAACTTGAAGTAGTAACCTTCTTTAATAAGAAAATCAAATAAGTATGCAGTATAAAACGAAGCAAACTACTGAATAATAGATGAGAATGATATTTATTTTACCTTCGATAAAACATCATTATTGAATTTATCTAAAATATGAAAGAAAGAAAGAGCACGAGTTCATTCAGTCAATAGATATTACTATATCATAATGTATGTTTATCACGGCGAGACTCAAATTTATGGACGAGCCAATCAGAAGCGTCTGAGAAATTTCAAGGTTACGGCACCAACTTCAATGCTTAATGCTAACGTACGATCGGTTCACAGGGAATTTTGTACAAAACGTGATAACTAAGCGGCTGTAACAAATAAAACGGCGAGACTATAATTTGTGTACGAGTCAATCAGGTATAAGATCATAGATCTCGGATTTTAACACGAAATCCTTTCATGCACTTTGCTAAATAGATTTCTGACATTATGGCTGATATCAGTTCGTGATGAAAACCCAATATATAATTCCTAACTAAGGCAAATTACGACAATTATTGCGAACTGAATAATAAAACCACCAGTAACATTGGCTGCAGTCAGGTACTACAATGTGTACGGATGTTTGAAGAGCGTGCAAACTCCTACATAGACTTGGTTGTGTGTATCGTGTCGTTATCCACAAGTAGAATTTTGTGCACTCAACAACCGGAGTGCACATAAACAATATTGAAGCTATGAGATGGAGGCTGAAAGAGTATTTGAGACCTTATCATGACTCCAGAGGCTGACTATTCTGTAGCCGTATGGATGATTTCCTTTACTGTATGCATTAGGATTTTAGAACCACTGAACCTCTTTCTAACGTTGACAAGTTATTGAACCACGTATAAGAAGTATATCCACTTTATTTCCTTGGGTTTGCATAATATATTTTTACTCTATACTGACTGTTTGATTATTGGCTAATATGTTCCAAAGTCACTTAAGACTCATTCAAAGGTCATTCATAAATTATAGTCTCGCCGGTTTATCTTTTAAATAACTTTCGAATGAATTTATAATGGGTCAGAGTAATACAGAGATAATCTTGTTGTTACTCCAGAATGTTCAGCCATATTGTTAAGATATTCTTAAGACATTTTCAAGATCACCTTGTGAATTATGGCCCTATCTGTTCTCATTTATGGCTGTGAAATATGGCATTAATGGCAGAAGATACTCGTAAGTTACTAGTATTTGATCACAGATGTCTCAGAAATATTCCCAACATCTGCTGTGATCACCGGGTAGGTAATAGTGAGGTTAAACGCAAGGTATTAGAGAATGATGGTAAGTCAGTTGATGAAGTTGTAAATATTCATCGACTGAGGTGGTTGGGCCACGTGGTACGTATCCCTGAACATCGATTACCACGATACACAATGCTCTGTGTTCGGGATGGTTGGAAGAAAGTTAGGGGGGGCCAAACAAAAACGTGGCATCAGTGTTTGAATTCACTAATTTCTAGTCTGAGCCATGTTGGTAGATGCAAACTACTTGGTTGGGGTTGGCGTGACATGGTGTAGGTATATACACTCTTTGTCTTCCCTTAAACTATTAGATTGAAATCGCTTCATATCTTTCTTTCTACGAACTAATTCTTTCTTCCTGTACTATATCCTTATATGAAATCTTTCTTTCATATATTCCTACCACTGAGTTAACTACCTCTGTGAATTCGGTGTTCATCTTGTTGTGGCAATGAGTATGGCAACTTGGACCGATGCACATATGTTCCTGGTCCTACTTTGTAACTGACTGACTGATGATAAACTCACTAATCAGAGTATCGATTTCCATGAACCTGTCACTGAGCTAACTAATAACATGCTTATCAGTAATAGTAGCTTTGAATCAGCTTTAAACCATTGGTGGTCATTGATACAGTAATATCTATCCTTCCCTTACCTGTTCAGTCTAGAACACAATAATCGGCCTTTATTATACAAATAATGTATTTCAAAAATACAGTTTCTATGCAAGCAGATCAGACATCATAAAATGAAACATATCAGTTATATAGAATCGACAAATCAAAAATGTTTGTGAGTGTGGGATTATTTAACTAGTAAATGGGGAATAAATCAATAATGGTAAATCATATAACAGTAATTAATGGGCCAAATGAAACCATTCTATAAGCGTTACAAGACAATCCCTCACATGGAATCATCAAGGCAAAAGGAGAAGAGGAAGATCAAAGAACACATTACGCCGGGAAATGGAGATAGACACGAGAATAATGAAGAAGAATTGGATGGAACTAGAAAAGAAGGCCCAGGACAGAGTGGGTTGGAGAATGCTGGTCGACGGCCTATGCTCCATTGTGAGTAAGAGGCGTAAGTAAGTATATAATGAAATTTACTTGGTATTGTTTACTTGAATATTTCTATTGATGTTTAGGACTGCGAATGATCAGTCTCTTATTAGCATTTGTGCGTACTGTGAGGACTGTCTCAATATTGTTTAATTTTAAAGCAAAGATGGATGGTGGCTAGCAGTGAAATCCAAGACGAGCGTTTCGTTCTATTTGCAACTCGTCAATTGGATGTGCCTGCATCCCAGAGTTGATTTTTACTCCGAGACGCGAACTTTACTAGCTAAATCGATAGTGATGTCATCGAAAGTGAACGGTACTGTGTTCGATTCTTGTTGTAAACATCAACTCGAATGCAGGTACATCCAGCTGACGAGTCCAGGATAGAACGAAACGCACGTCAAACTGGATTCCACCACTAGCCACTATCCATCTTTGCATATATAATAATAGTCTATGAATAAATCCTGAAAGCTACCATTCATTTAGTCTTCTTTGAATATAACCGGTTCCACTTTGATTAACATTATACTCAAATAAGCGAGAAAAAATTCAGTTATTGGGTGAAAAATCGATCACAAATTTATATTAACTGATCATACACTGGGCTAATTAGTTCATTTATCAAATAGACATACTTTTATTGACATATATATTAACTTTGGAGGCTTTATAAAAATTGTTTCATTTCACATATTGTATCACCAACTGATCTAACTTAAACATTCATGAGGGACGAAAAGGTATTAGACAGTTGTTTTCTCTAGTATCGGACTGTTCGTCTATGTTCATACACAAACCAACAAAAAGTTGAATCTAAGATCTTCAAGTTCAATAACAGGCGTTCAACTTCCAGTTCATTGAGGACAATATCATAAAACAGTTATAATTAAACATGTAAACCACTAGGTAACAGTTTAATAGTCAAGAGTTTAAGTGAACACCACAAACCTTTGAGGATTTAGATTAAACCCCAAATGGGTTCGTGAACTTGCACTAATGAGAAGTCACATTTTAGGACGAAACAACTAATCCCTGGTTTCAAACAAAGATCAATCTGTTACGCAATCCATAATATTCCATATTTGATGAACACCTTGTTGATACATATAGAAATACTAAAATTTTATTTTACGGATAAACAGGTAGACAAATTTTTGATTGATTTATTTATTTAAACACATAAACATTGGTACAAAGAGGCACCAAATAGATATGCGCTACACTCTGTCATCCGATTCGTGTGAGGGTTGTGGTACTGTCCGAGTGACCAAACCAAAATGGGTGGTTTTCTTAGAGGGACACACTTAGAGGATTCGATCTAAATTTCTAATCCAAAAGTCAGTGGAACAATGTTGGGAGATGCAACATCGTTGTAGTCGGTGACCAACAATAGGTTCATACACCATTTATGCACCATTGGTTTGGAATCAGGGTTCTCTAACCCCTAGATGGACTCTTCGTGTCCACCAACCCGGTCAAAGCGCCGGACGTTCGGTTGTCGTCCTCTCAATTTCGTAAACAACACCCCCGCCACGAGAAGGCAGTGAGTAAGAGTTCTTTGGCAGTGGTTGTATCCATGTGGCCATGTGAGAGCATTTGGAGAGAGAGGTGACTCTCCCCACTCTCGGCTGTACCAGGCCATTTGGGGCAGATAAATTAAATGACTGGTGGATGGTGAAATTTAACGCTTTTCTCTTTGTACATTGTATAATAAAAAAACTTTAGAGAACATAAAGGCCTTTAAACACTTACTTGATTGACTGTCATCTGAACTGCCTGATCGACTGATATGCTTCGATTCAATCAGAGGTTCATTTCGCCTATAGAATTAGTAAAGTTAAAAGATGTATTTATTTGATGATTAGTTGATAAAATCATATGAAGTCCAGAATTCTAGTAAAACGTCGTGACCAGAGGAAGTTCACCGTGTCTGTTGTACGGCAATTACTCACTGAACCCAATGGTGGACGGTGGCCCAATATCGTGATATGGTTGAATTTATACATTAACAGCATTGGATATCGGCTCAGTGGTCTCACCGTTAAACGTTCGCGCACGAAGTTTGTGGGTTCGAGACACTAGTCACAGAAAACCTGGCTGCGAGTGCTTTTTCATATGTTAGCTCTATATATTAAAGTTTCTTTGAGCCTGATTGAAAATATTTGGGACAAAATTAAGTGTGCTCTCTTTTTATGATTGACTTTTTCTAACCACACCCTTTATTTCTCAAAATGCACCATAATCCTAGATGTCGGTTGTCTAAGGATATACCTTACTGTTATCACAACTCTATACACTCAGAAATACAACTTCGTTCACGGATCATGAGTTCGCTACTTTTAGTGTTATCACTCCTAAAGTGACCTGTCTGTTATGGTAGGTACTCAAAGAGTAAATTCCTTAGCCATATTAACTGGATCAGGACATCAAGATGAACAAGCTCAATCATCACTTTAATGTAGCAGCTGCGGTCGAGAATTTTATGCTATATTTATATATGAACTGTTATATCCGAACAAAGAATGAATGAATGGTAACTGTTAGGAATTATTTATGGACTTTTATTACATATAATTCTATTGGATAATTACTAAGTAACTGAGTTATATACATACTCATATTTCTTCTATCATAAGTTCTCATTTGACCTATTGACCATTCTTATTCGACTTACCATACTTAATGATACGTCTTGATGATTGAACGCTATATTCGGTTCCTAAGCTATTCTCATAACCCTCAAGCTAGAACTACACAGCAACCTGAACACGAAAGAGAAGGTGCAAAACTATACGAGCAGCACTTTACTCCAAAGGTTTGTCCTAGTACAGAAAATATAGGGAGTTTATAGTATTTTAGATGTTCTTGGGTTTCCCGAAGATTCTGGAATGCTATTAAACACAGTAACAGTATAGTAATCAGTCAATCAGAAAATGTACATGTGACTTTTCACTTTCTCGATGTTTTTGGCTAAACTTCAAGTGAACGCTGATTGGACAAAATGCTTCTTAGTATTTTCCTGAGCATTTCTTTCTTTTGCGAGAAGTTTTCTGGATCACCCCAACACTTAACTTATTCCTAATTTATCAGTTACAATATTCTATACTCACAGCCACTTTTGGTTTGATCTTGTATAATGATTATTTTTCATTTTATGGTGTACTTCAGTCTGATCTACATGGACAGCATCATTGATGAACACAGTGGGTTTGATACAGACGTGAAGGCGTCGATCAGCAAAGTAAGAGCAGCATATTCACAATTGAAGCACATCTGGAACTCAAAACAACTGTCGGTCAACCAACATCGAAGTCACAATTTTCAATTCAAATGTCAAAATAGTTTTACTGTATGGGGCAGAAACTTGAAAAACTACGAAAGCCATTATCCAGAAGATACAAGTGTTTATGAACAGTTGTCTACGCAAAATACTTCGAATCCGTTGACAAGACACTATTAACAGACAAACCAGATCCCAGCGGTGAGAGAAACCAGAAAGAAGCGTTGGAAGTGGATAGGACACATATTGAGGAAAGAACCTAACTGCGTCACAAGGCAAGCTCTCATCACTTGAAATCCTCAAGGGCAAAAGAGAAGAGGTTGAACAAAGAACACATTGAGCTGAGGAACAGAGACAGACATTAGAAAAATGGACAAGAATTGGATAGAACTGGAAAGGAAGGCTGGGGACAGAGTGGGTTGGAGAATGCCGGTCGGCGGCCTATGCTCCATTGAGAGTAATTAAGTAAGCAGTCTTATCTGCTTGTATATAAACCATGTACTATTGAAATATACTATTACAATAACGGAAGTAGATATTCGTGTTCTAGACTGAGCGAGAAGGGGAAGGAAAGAATCTACTATATTGACGAACATTAAAGATTGGGAGTTGATTCAAGGTTTCTAGTAATGGTTGGCATGTCATTCATTAGCTCAATATTCTAACCGTTGATTAGACAAAGCCATAGGTAATAACATCAATAATATAAACAATTTACCTCATGCATTTTGTATTACACCATTTATTTACATGTTCATGAATTGATGAAGAGTCATTCGATGATGAATAATCTGAATGAGATTTCATTAAAGTTTCATTTGGATTAACATTTTCATTTGACTGATCATTAATATCAGAAATTTTGATAGACTAAAACATAAATAACATGGTGTATTTATACAATATTCAATATATATGAGTCAGTAAGTTAGCTACAACATAGGACCTAGGCACATATATGCATCGGTACAAGTTTTTATACCTCATTACCACAAAAAGATCAACATCAGATTCAAAGAAATAGTTAATTCAATAGTAGTAGTATATAAAAGGAAGATTTTGTATAAGGATATAGTACAGATAGAGAGAATTAGTTAATAGAAAGAATGATATAAAGCATGGTGATCTAACTTTAATCGACTCATGAATTCAATTATTAAATCATTAAAATCTCCACAAAACCCCCTTTTTGATTATAATCATCATGTACTCACTAGTGACTAATTTCAAAAATTATTTCCTGGAGTTCTAATGAGAAGTAGTGACCAGAGGAGTTTAACCAGGTCTGTTGTGAGGTAGTAACTCACTGAAGACAATGTTGGACCGTGGTGCAATATCGTGGATTGGTTGAAATTAGAGAATAACAATGTTGGATACCGGATCAATTGTCTGGTTGTTAAGCACTCTTACGGTAGACCGAAAGTTTTGGGTTCGAATCCCTTTGGTGTGTGATCGTGAGTGAGCTCTTTTGAGGAGTCCCATACTAACACGAAACGGCTATCCAGTGCTTCCAGGTCTTCTATGGTGGTCAAGCTCTAGTTGTTCTAAATTTTCCTTAACTGACTAATTACTTGACTTATCTTCCTTACACTTTTTTGTAATGCTAATTATTAATGCAGTCAATATGGCAGTTTGAAGAAACGGGAAGTGACTACAGTCAAATTTATGCGTCCAATATATCTATCCAATGTATGTTTATAAATATTCGATAGATTATTCGAACTACTTATATTATTATTCAATAGTATACTTCAGCAGAGATAAAACTTCATAAAGATCAGTAGTTTTGTTACTTACATGATCTAGTTTTGCACATATTTTATCGTTTGTCATATTTTTCTTCCTTTTCTCTGTCAATTCTAAATAGAGAAAGAAAATGTAATGAAGAGAGAGAATCTTCAACCCACCTTCAATTGAACAATTATCTGAAATATCTTGTATATTCGGATCAATTAATTCACCATATAAATAAATGTAACCATTTAATTGTTTTTGTAAATATTCACAGTTGGAACATTCATGACCAGCGAGATGATGACGATGATGAAGACGATCATCTTCCAAATCGTTCGACTCCTAATCATGACAATAAGAAGAACAATATAAATGGGATAAATCAACTAAACTTTCTGTCAGAATCTGTAATAATATTATTAAAATATAAGAATCTCACATATCGGTTTTTCACATAGCTTTCATCACAGATTTATTTCAGTCACATAATCTTTGACAAACAAGAAGCACTGGATAGGCGTTTTATTATAGTATGAGAATCTTCAGCATGACACACCAATGGATCTTGAGTTCGACTCCTAACATAATCTGTATCCCAGAGGAATAACAGAAATTATTTTTTGAAAACCATGCTAGAATTTTAAAAATACATTATAAGTATTTGTCATCCATTCAAGATAATAAGTGGAACCACAATACAAATATTTGGTCCTGCTGAATGTGTTTATCACGTGACTTTTATGACAGTTTAGCATTGTTTGACCTTCAATTCGATGAATTATAAATCCAATAGTTATTATTCCCAACTTTAATCAATTCATCGACCTAAATAGAATTTCAATGGTTAAGATCATGAGTCAGTTGAAGCTAGACCACAATGGAAAACCTGGAAGCACTGGACGGCCAGTTGTCTAGTGTAGTGGTTGAGTGATCGCGCGTGAAACCAGTAGGTCGTGGTTCGAATCTCTCAGGAGGTGAGGTCGTGGATGAGCACTGCTGAGGAGTCCCACAATAGGACAAAACGACCGTCCAGTGCTCCCAGGTTTTCCATGGTGGTCTAGTTTCAACTGACTCATGATCTTAACCATTGAAATTACTATAATATCCACAAAACCCATCTGATACTAATTATAATTGTTTACTCACTATGAGCATGTGGTGTGTGCTACTGATGTCAATAGATATAGGTAGTATGTAGTACCAATCGAAAGTGAATGCCTAGAGACAGACGTTTAAGAAGATCGAAGAGAAGAGAACGAGAACAGAGAGTGATGTGTGTAGAAAAGAGGGAACAATTGATTGATATTTTGCAAATGAATTATTTGATGTATGGTTCTCAGATATTACTATGAGATTCATTAAATTTGTATTGAAATACATTTGGTTGTCCTTAACTGTGTTCTCAATCACTACAAGAGTACTCCATGTTAAGTTTTCCATGTCCTTACTAAGAACTCATAATTGGTGGAATTTAACCATATTGAGAATGTGACGTACATCATCAAATATTGGTACATTGTCTTTCTAAATTTGTGAGAGAGAAAAAAGTAGATCCTAGCGGAAGAACAAACCAAGAAGAGCGTTGGAAGTGGATAGGACACACATTGAGGAAAGCACTCAACTGCGTCACAAGGCAAGCTATCATCACTTGAAATCCTCAAGGGCAAAAGAGAAAAGAGGAAGACTAAAGAACACATTACGCTGAGAAATGGAGACAGACAAGAGAAAAATGAACAAGAATTGAATAGAACTGGAAAGGAAGTCTCAGGACAGCGTGGGTTGGAGAATGCTGGTCGACAACCTATGCTCCATTATAAGTTACAGGTGTAAGTAAGTCAGCAAGTCTTTCTGAATCACAAATCTGAATAAGGTAATCGGTATAGTCGTAGGTACTCGTTGCTAAAGAGTTCCATACTTTATAAAAAAAAACCACCCATCAAATAAACTGACCAAAGAAACATAAAAAATAACAATGTTCGTTAATCTTTCATTTACATTCTATACTTTCTAACTTACATTTGATTTTGTCTTGTACATAGTATATGTAGTCAATTGTTCACGTAAATCCTATGAATAATGAACAATAATACGAAATATATGGATTATCAGTTCATATCAGAAAAGGGGTTTTGTGGATATTATAGTCATTTTATTACTTTAGATTATGAGTTCTAGCGAGAAACAGTGACTAGTGGAATTGAATTAGATCAGTTGTAAGATAGTAACTCACTGATGACAATAATGGATATGTCACTCAATTTCGTGAATTGGTTAAAGTTAGACATTAACACCGATGAATCCCGCCTCAATAGTCAAGTGATTAAACGCTAGTCCGCAAAACTGATAAGTCTTTGATTCGAATCTCGCAAGTCAAGAACGTAGATGCACACTGTTAAGGAGTCCCATACTAAGACAATTGGACGAAACAGTTGTCCAATGCTTCCAGATTTTCAATGAGGATTCAACATCATTTGATTCATGGTCTCAATCAAAATAAACAATCTTGGTTCAAAGTATTTGTAAATTGTAATGTATAACAATATTAAGAAAAAGAAGAAGAAACAAAACAGTGAATTCACTATTGAACTGATATACACAAAGGCTAATTAGTTAACAACCCTGTAACATTCATATCAAAAGCGTACTTTATAAAATTCATTGATTGATTGATTGATTGATTGATAGATACCCTTCAATAGAACGAAATATTTACAAATGATGTGATTAATTATACTACTACTATTACTACTACTATCACCACCACCACCACCATTGTTATTATTATTACTACCAAGAGTAATAATTTATTCACTTAAATCAATATTTCTACATATGATAAGTTAGTTATACGTCACGTGATGCAACTACCTGATAGGTCAATACATGTTGCTATGCCTGTGTGTGTGTGTTATCTTCATCTGTATGCTTACATGGTATATGTATATGTAAGTGCTACCTATACTAGACCATTCTTGATTAATTTCACTTCGATTACCTAATAAGTTTTTTTTAGATTGATTTAACTACACTGTTTAATATTTATGTTAAATTGAAATGATGTAATGATATTTTATTCTGATTGAAATGATGAATTGATCAATGATAGATTACCATGGAAAACCTGAAAGCATTAGATAGCTGTTTTGTGCTAGTCTTCACATGGGACTCGAACTCAGAAATTTTGGTCTCATGAGAGAATGCTTAATGTTGAGACTACTGAACCGATATTCAATGATGTTATTGTCTAATTTTAACCAAATCATGAAATTGCGTGATGATCTTCCATTGCCTTTGATAGGTAACTGTCTTAACACCTGATATGGATTAGCTTCACTGACCATGGTTTCTTAGTAAAACCTCTCGATGTTAGTCACTAGTGAACATGTGATCATTTCAGTATAAGGTTGTGAAGATTATCGAGTTTTAATTGAGATGATGAACCGATCTATGTTAGACTAGGTCTGTTGTGACATAGTAACTCACTGAAGACAATGGTGGATGTGTCGCTCAATTTTGTGGATTATTTGAAGTTAAACATTAACACCGTTGGATGTCGGCCAGCTCAGTGGTCTAGTGGTTAAGTGATCGTGCGCGAAACCAGTAGGTCCTGGGTTCGAATCTCGCGGGGGGTAAGGGCGTGGATGCGCACTGTTGAGGAGTCCCACAATAGAACGAAACGGCCGTCCAGTGCTCCCAGGTTATCCATGGTGGTCTAGCTTCAATTGACTCATGATCTTAACCATTGAAATTACTATAATATCCACAAAACCCATCTGATATCAAAATAAAATAGCCAATCTAATCTAATAATCACATGATTCAAATATCAAATTATAACAATAACATGATTATCCATTTATAGACTAAACATGTACCTATTTTGTACATTTGGATGATATATCTATTTGTGCCAAATGATTATATTCTCTCGATGATAGAATTTTCTAAGTAGTTTTTATTAATATGAAAAAGGGTTTTTTGTAGATATTATAGTAATTTCAATAGTTGAAATCGAGAGTCATTTAAAATTAGAACACCATGGAAAACCTGAAAGCACTAGGTGGCCGTTTCGTAGTACTGTGGGACTCCTCAGGAGTGTGCATTCACTATACGACCTCGCGAGATCCGAACCCAGGATATATCGGTCTCGCGAGCGAACGCTTAACGGTGAGACCACTGAGATCGCATCCAACGGTGTTAATGTGTAACTTCAACCAACCCACGAAATTGAGTGACAAATTCACCACAACAGACCCGGCTTCATGAGGTATCTCCTGGAGTTCTAGTGAGAGGCAGTGACCAGTGGAGCTCAACCAGGTCTGTTTTGAGGCAGTGACTCATTGAAGACAATAGCGCATCTTCGTGATTTGGTTGAAATTAGACATTAACACCGTTGGATACTGGCCGGCTCAGTGGTCTTACCGTTAAGCGTTTACACGCGTGACCGATAGGTCCTTGGTTCGAACCTCGCAAGGCGGGATCGTGGATGCGCACTACCGAGAAATTCCGTACTAGGACGAAACGGCCGTTCACTGCTTCCAGGTTTTCCATGGTGGTCTGGTATTTTTCTTTAAAAAAATCGGTTGATATACAGTTGGAGAAAATAAATATTAAGTTCTACAATTACTATTCACTCTAGCTGTTAACAAAATTTAACTCTCATCCAAAGAAAATTTATTTTGTTTTGGAGGAATTGACTGTGCGTCACATAGTCTACATATCCTAATGCTACATTGATGCGGCCATACTACAATTTATGGACAAACCAATCAGATTTAAGGTAACAGGTCTTGGATATTGGCGCAAAATTCATTCACCCATTTGGACGAATATCAGTCAATTGTTTCATACTTTATTGTTTCTTCATTTCCACACCAATCATTCTTTGTTCTCATTCTCTTTTCTTCGATCTTTTTGACCTTCTGCTGCCAGATATTTCACTTTTGATTTATTACATATACTACTTATATCTGTCGACATCAGTAGCACAAAATACAATATCATATTCTAGTTGTCATAAACATTTTCCTCATTAGAATCTATTGCATTAAGGTAGCAACAATGACTTTTAATTCTGTAAATATTGTAAACTCATACTTAATGTTACAACTTGTGCCCTATGTCCTATTCAATGTATAACGTAATGGTACTGCTAGTTAAAGAACAGTGAATTATCAACTGGAGCAATGACTCATAAAAAACCGTACGATCAATCTACAGTATTTATCGGTCCTGCTTCCCAATTAGCTCTGCCTGTTCAATCCAATACACCAATCTCAGCAGCCATGATATCAAGATTCAATGAATTATCTACTACACATTTCAATTGGAATTCAACTTACTTGAATTAATTTATCTAAAATTTCATTATCTTCTAGTAATTTCTTTTCATTTTCTATTTTTCTTAAAATTATTTGTTCCAAATGTTGATTTGTTTGGATTAGATTTTCTTTTTCTGCATGAAACATTTCATGATCTGATTTCATAGACTATAGAGTAATGAAAGAAGAATCATTGATAAACAATTGTATGATCAGAAGTGAATATCTTTCAATTCATATTATCATATATATGAACATCGATTATCACGATGAACAATACTGATGACTAGTGTTTGAGATGATTGAAAGAAAGTTAGGGGCGGCAAAACCAAAACGTAGCATCAGTCGTTGAAGTCACCAACGTCTAGTTTGAGCCATGTGGATGGTAGATGTAGACTAGTTGGTTGTGGTCTGTGTGACTATCGTAACCAATTTTTGGAGACTCTGTGTGACATGGCTCAGAATCGATCACAATGGCATAGGTGGATACACTCTCTATCTTCCCTTAAACTATGAGATTTAAATCGCTTTATATCTTTCTAAGAACCAATTCTTTCTTCCTGTACTATATCCTTATATTCAATCTTTCTTTTATATATTACCACCTCTGAATTAACTAATTCTATGAATTCGGTGTTCATCTTGTTGTGGCAATGAGGTATGGTAACTTGGACAGATGCATATATGTTCCTGGTCCTACATTGTAGCTGACTGACTGACATATCAACACATGAAATTCATATGAATATAACAATGGAGGCATTGACCATATTGAGAAGTATAAGATGGAAAATAATAATATTAGATCTACTGGACATTTAAACACAAAAATCACAGTTCAGAATAACACAACTTAGAATAATGAACAAGAGTTTAGATTGACACTCAACTTAAAACTTTCAGGAAGAATGAATGCATATGGACTATTGTGACTGGTTTTCTCTATGCTGCCTAGCATCCTTAATCAAAGAATACGACTGGTAATCTTTACTTGCTTTGCCGATGTGTTGTGACATTTCTAACCGATACATAAATATATCAGATTCCATGTTGCTTATGACTGAGTGATCGACTGACAACGCCTATCTACAGCTTCTGTGACCAGCATACAATAGATGGAATATAGCTAGCAATAGAATCCAGAGCGCGCGTCTTCCTATTTAGAACTCATCAGCTGGGTGTACTTGCATCCCTGAGTTAATAACCACTCCTTAACTCTAACCTAGTATTATTCACTATAAATGTTTTTCCATTATCCACTTAGCCACAGAGTTCAGGTAGCCACCGGCCTTGTGCAACCGGTGTGAGATTTATATTCAATTTCGAATGAATTGAATAATCCTGTTATTTATATATAGTTGACCAAAATTTGATCATTGTTAGTTGACTATTGTTAATGCAGGCACATTCAGCTGACGAGTCCCGAATAAACCGAAACAGCCTACTAGTATTCTATTGCTAGTCACTATCTAACTGTGCTAATAAATGTACAAAAATTAACTTATCTATAATTGACAACAATCTGATCTGTCAAAATCATTGTTGTTGTTGTTATTATGATTAATAGTAAACATATAATCAAATCATATAGCCTTATGTAATTAAAATACCTACTGTGATATGATCAACTCAGACACCTATATAAGTATCCATACGTACATACACACACACACACATTAAACCTATACTACTTAGATACTATAACTAAATGAATCCGTTATTGTTTTATGTTCTATTATATTCAACATATTCATACCCACGTGAATATGAGTATACACTATTAAACTCATTCATCTACATTAAGATTAAAAGAAGAAAAAGAAGAAGAAGAAGAAACAACAACAACAACAAAATGATCAGAAAGAAAAATTGTTTCGATATTGATCATTGAATGAAGTGGTAAAGTAGTTTGTTTCATTTTAGAATTTTAAAAAAAACTTACTTCTTGTGTCAAATAGTTGGATTGTTTTTGTTTTCAACCATGTGTTAACTAGTGATTAATGAGGTGTCAGGTTTGAGGTAGTTACCCACTGATGGAACTGACAGATGGATGAACAATATTACTTTACTTACTTACTTACTTACTTACTTACACCTGTTACTCCTCGTGAAGAAGTATAGGCCGCTCACCAACATTCTTCATCCAACCCTGTCCTGAGCAATCCTTTCCAGTTCTTTCCAGTTATTTTTCATTCTTTTCATATTTGCTTCTATTTCCTAATGTAATGTGTTCTTTTGCCTTCCTCTTCTCCTCTTCCCTTCAGGATTACAAGTTAGTGCTTGCCTCGTGATGCAGTTTGATGATTTCCATAATGTATGTCCTATCCACCTCCAGCATCTTTTCCTAATTTATTCTTGAGTTAGAAGCTGGTTTGTTCTCTCCCACAGAAGGCTGTTGCTGATGGTATTCGGCAAACTCACATTGAATATCTTGCGTAGACAGCTGTTTATAAATACTTGTATTTTCTTGATGATGGTTGTGATAGTTCTCCACGTTTCAGTTCCCTACAATATAACTAACTGTCTTGACGTTCGTATTGAAGATTGTGACTTTGATATTGATTGACAGACAATTGTTTTGAGTTCAATATATTCTTCGATTATAGGAATGATTCTCCCCGGCCAATCCTTGCCTTTACGTTTGCATCCGATCCTTCTTGTTCATCGATGATGCTCCCCAGATACGTGAGACTTTCGACCTGTTCCAGAGTTTCTCTATCAAATGTGATTGTATTAGTGTTCTCCGTGCTGTATTTAAGCATCTTACTTTTTCCTTTGCGTATACTGGGGCCTACTTGATGAACAATATACCGAACTGAAATTAGAAATCTCAAACATTGGACGTCGATTTAGAGACCTGAAGGTGAAGAACTCACTGGGAGACCTATAGTCGAGGGCTTGATCCTGGTAGAGGGTTTGTGGTGCACATTGTTTAGAAGCTCTATACTTAGACAAAACAACTGTCCAGTAATTCCTTAGTTTTCAAAAGTCATTCCTCGATGTTACATACTAGTCTGGGATTGTGCAAAGAGTGAAACTAAAGATCATGATTTTTCATAAAAAATACTATATATCTAAACAAATGATTTTGATATCATTCGACTCATAGTATAGTGAGACCCTCAAATCAATATCATTTTGATTATTGTAAAGTGATTCAATCAAAAAGAAACTAAATAATTACATTTTGTGATAGCTGGTAAAGGATACAAAACACCTTGGATCTTACGAAAATCAACGTTACATGAATAGTTCAAACTCATGTTACCCAGGATTGTAGTGTAAGTTGTTATAACTGGTCTGTTTGAATTACACCTAGAGTGACGTAATTAATATAATTCAATGAGTGAAAAGAGTCAGAGAACGTAACACTGACATACTCTAAGCACCTAGACTTTACAGGCCTTATAATCTTTCATTTGATTGGATTAGTCGTGAAACTTTCACTGACTCATTAGACAACACCATCAATACATACATCAGAAAGTAATAAGCTATAAACGTTTTCTACGATCTGATCAACAGTTTAGTCTGTTGACTTGAAATCTGATTAGTTGTTGTCCATAACTGTTTCATTGTTATTTGCATTCTTATTTAGACTGTTTTCTTGCTGACTTGAGCTCTGACTTTGTAATTGTTTGTCATTTTTCTTACAAGATAATAAACTGGGTCAGATCAGAGGAGAAGATAAAAGTGTAAATGACAATAATAAAATTATTCACAACAACTAATCATATTCTAAGTCAGCAGAACAGGCTATTAGTCATTTGCAGTACTCATTCAAACCTCTAATTTAGACCATATCCAGGATCTTTAGGTCTCACTACTAAGGCTTAATTTCTGAGTCACTGAGGTGCCATCCAGCTGCGTAAGTGTGTAACTTTAATTAATTCGCAATACTTCGCTACCAAATTTGATGGCTTGTGGTGGATAACTGTCTCACACTCGGTATGACTGAGCATCGCTGGTCAAAGCTTTTCACAAGAACTCCTGGAAATCCACCTGCATGTTAGTTACTAGTAGAGATAGTTTGTAGAAATCGCTGGATTATCATTATGATCAACAGATTATTCATGTACTCTTGAGGCTGAAGGCTTTGTGTTCGATCTTCGGTGTGATCATGGATGCTCAGTGTTAAGGAGTTCCATAATAAGACAAAAACATCTATGGAAAACCTGGAAGCACTGGATGGCCGTTTTGTCCCAGTATGCAACTCCTCAACAGTGTGCATCCGTGATTCCGCCTAGCGGATTGGGACTTGAGTTTTCCACGGTGGTCTAGCTTTAATTAGTTCATGAATTCATTATTAAACTATTATAATATCCACAAAAACCCCTTTCTGATTATTGCACAATCATCAAATGTTTGTTAACTCAATGATTTCTTATCACTAGTTCGATGTTCTGTAACTTCCCCCCACAAACTTTGTTTATTTATTTAAAACAAGCAACTTTTATTACCTTATTAACTCTATCGGAATCTTCACTACAACATGATACAGATATTGGGGTGATGATAAACTCCACTCTTGTTTGCATTTTCAACCTTGTAGCTGGCAACCAACCAAAATGAGATAGGAATTATCATTTACACTATCGTCATCTGTGATAGAAAGCTGATTAATCTGTCTGTTATTTTTTTTTGCTGGCTTACATGATCAATGTAAAGTTTTCTACGATAAAACATCACTCTATGATGTAACGGACTTGTCAAGTGTGGTTCAATCAGTCATAATGAAAGAATAATTACAATATAGCAAAATTCATACCTTCAATTAATTCTATAATAGAAAGTATCCCGAAATATAACCGTATTTACTATGTTTGATACACTTAGATGAATTAACAGTGTAGAATTAATCCTTAGCCAATTTCTATGATAAATATTAGTATAGGGTTGGTGAAATTATTAAATTTTGATTGAGATCATCAATCGATCAATCTGAAAGCACTGAATGACCATTTCGTCATGAAGAGTCTTTTACTAGAATGAAACAGACTTTCAGTGCTTCCAGATTTTTAATGGTAGTCCAACATTGATCGATTCATTCCCCCAAGTACCCTGGTATGGTCGAGAGTAGAGAGAATCCACTCAATCTCTCTCGAAATGATCTCACATAGCCACAAGTAAACAGCTACTGCCAAGGAAATCCTACTCACTTCCTCCTCATGAAGGGGGTGTTGTTTACGAAATTGTGAGGACGAAAAGCGAATGTCCGAGTTGGTGAACATGGAAAGTTCACCTAGGGAGTTGGAAAACTTTAATTACAAACCAATAATGTAAATGAGCTCCTGGATCTCCTGACATCAAATCATTGCCTTATGGATTAACGTAATAAAATGAATTCATTATTATTTCATCAACTTACTTGTATCAAGTTATTTAAGATCACATTGTCTGATTTCAATTGTTCATTTAAATCTTCTTTCTTATTTAATTCCATTTTCATTTCTTTCATTATCATATTCAATTTCTTTAATTCATTTAACATGAGATTTCAAAAGAGAAAAACAAACAAACAAACAAACAGCTTTAATACATAGATACATTATGAATAAGAATGTAATGATCTTCAATAGGTAACAGCCTAGCAACTGATATAGATTGAACTTCATTGGTCAAATCTTCTCATTAGTACTTGGAGAATGTTCATTTCGTTTCCATAGATTATCGATAATGGCATTTGAAGCGAACAGTATTGAGTTCGAGTCCTAGAGTGAACATCCACATCCAATTATCTCTTGTAGTTAGTTATTAATAACCATATGATGAATGTAATTCAATATGTTTAATACAAGAATAAAAAAGTTTTTCTTTTAATTGTATTGATCATGTTATGGGTAGTGTCACGTTCTCACAAATGAAAGTTAAGTTATGATTATTAATGATTGAGATCATCAATCGATCAATGTTAGACTACTATTGAAAACCTGAAAGCACTAGATGACTATTTGGTCATGAGGAGTCCTATACACTAGAGCAAAACAGCTGTTCAGTACTTACAGGTTTTCAATGGTGGTTTGTCATTAATCGATTCATGGCCCCAAATGTTGACATTTTTAATGAATATAAATCATATGCTTACTGGTAAATATCTTTAAGATATGTCATTGGGAGTTTTAATCAAATGCCATGACCATTAAATTTCGATTATGTCAAGTGTGAAATAGTTACTCATCGCTTGTAAGTAATAAATGAAAGTTGTGTAATATTGTAAACTTATATGCCATTGGATACTAGCTCAGTGATGTACAGGGTAAATGTTCATTTTGTTTCCATACATTATCGATAATGGTGTTTGAAGCGAACGGTACTGAGTTCGAGCCCTGCAGTGAACATCCAGAAGTCACAAATAGGACGAAACGTGCATTCTCGATTCTACTGCTAGCCAATATCCATCCATTATATCTTTCAATTCAATCTGTTTTGAAATTGAAGATGCCTTTTGTTAGATGTTTATAATCTAATATAAAAGAAATTTTTAATGTTCACTATTTTTCTGTGAGATTATGGACCGATTAATGTTAAAGGACCATTGAAAACCTGGTGGCATTGGACAGCCGTTTCGTCTCATTGTGGGACTTGGGAGTGGAATCGTGGATGCGCACCACTGATGAGTCCCACAATAGGAACTGATAGTGTATGTTTCAATCTTAACAATCTTATAATATGAAAAATATGAAATATAAAGTGTTTAATTGTTTTCTATAGTTTACTATTAACGAGTTAATAGGAATGGTGGTGATACTATAATTTATGAACGACCTTTGGACAACACTACAATGACCTTAAGAGTGTTCACCTACTTAACTAGGACTAAATAAGGGTTATAACTCAGTGTGGAGAACAAAGATTATGATTTACAGTTGATGGGTTAAATGTTAAGAATTAGATTAAAGGTTTTCATCACAAATTAACATTAGCTATAATACCAAAATGCTTTTTAACCAAATGGATGAATAAATTTGGTACCAAAATCCAAGACTTGTTATGTTAACCGATTTCATTCATACTGGTGGTTGCTTTTCAATGTTCTCAAGGGTCATTTTAATCGGGACATTGTAAGGCATGTCGCCATTGCTAACATTATTGAGTTTGACTATCGTGTAATCGGAATAGGTCAACTTTGGCCTGTTCATACTCTGTATATAACTGTACATGTGACATGAATATGTATATGAATGGTGCGAATGGTTCATCAGGGTGCTTGGTACCTGTGGAGTTGCGCCACAGGATTGAGCTCTACTATTTAGATTGTACCATTAAAGCCTATACGGTGTCTGGCTCTCCTGTTAAACGGGATTGAGCTGTACTAATTGGGTTGTCACCTGAGAGTCTGGATGGTGTTTGGTTCTTTTGGAATCCAATGCAAACTTACCCTGGACCACAAGGGTATATTATATAACGATGTTACCTTATACCTGATTGTTCGTCCATAGCATTTGTTTTCTTATTAAACAACTAAATGTCTATTCTAATACATCTATTGTAGATAACGTCTGTAACATAGTAGTCAAGTATACGATTATGTAATTAATTTTAGTGTTGCTAATTAAAACTAAGTAATAATGATGATTGAATTCATAAATTAACAACCATTTCCGGTTTATAAAACGGATGAAAAATTAGGCTTAATAGAATTATAAATTCACTTGATATTGTTTATTTGAAACTTCTCATTGATGTTTACGACTGTAATTGATCAGTTTCTCACTGGTATATGTGCATACTGTGTGTATTGCCTTGATATTGTCTTAATTTTACATGCATTCTAATCAAAGATGGATAGTGGCTAGCAACGGAATCCAGGATACACGTTTCATCAGGACTCAGTAGCTAAATGGATAACGTAATGGTGTTGAAAGCAAACGGTACTGCATTCAAGTCCTAGAATGAACATCAATTCTGTGATGCAGGTACATTCAGCTGAGGAGTCTCAAATAGGTCAAAACGTTTATCCTGGATTCCACTGCTATCCGCTATCCATCTTTGTTTAATAGGACTATATAAACTGAAGGATTTGGGTGTATTCCATCTTTCAACTTATTAAAATAAAATTTAGTCGCTTGTAAACATTCCATGACAAATGTTTCTTTAAAGTCATCAGCGCATTACTCTAGTCTCGTGGTTTGAAAGTGAACCACAGTTGTAACTTTTTTCCGTGAGAATTTTAGCAACAAATGGTTGCGACTTCATGAAGATCCAATGAGATTGTGGATTAAACCTGTTGAAGAGTTCTATTTATTATCAAATGAATATAGATAGATCTTGATTCATTTATCATATCAAAAGGGGTTTTGTGGATATTATTAGTAATTTCAATGGTTGAGATCATGAATCAATTGAAGTTAGACTACCATGGAAAACCTGGAATCACTGGATGGCCGTTTCGTCCTATTGTGCGACTCCTCAGCAGTGTTCATCCATGATCTCACCTCGCGAGATTCGAACCCAGGATCTGTCATTTATCATAAATTATTTCACTATACAACTAAATGATTAATATAAGTGATGCATATTAAATTTTCATTATTATAAATTTATTAGTACATATGATATAAACCAAAATCAACATTTAATGGCAACAACAACAGAAAAATTCTCTTTCAATAATGCACGCCTCATTTTAGGACTAAATTAGTCAATCAATAAAGAAAAACAAAAACAAAACAAAACATACTATGATTACAGTTAGTTAATCAGTGTTCAACATACATGGTACTACTATTAATACTACTACAAGTAAGATAACCACCGAAAACCGGAGGGGGGCAATGTGAAGGTGTACCACTACTACTACTACTACTATTACAAGTTAGACAACTACCGAAAACCGGAAGGGGGACTGTACAAGTGTACTAATACTACTACTACTACTATTACTACATGGTATCTATCAATAAAGAAGTTTCATAAAACATATTTTGAATAATTTTTTTTCATTCTCTTAAATAATGTTTTCCCACTGCTTTACTACTATTCTACTATCAATGAGACCTTGATTCATTGAAATTTGTCACTAATGAACATTGAATAAATAAAAATGAAACTGATTCAGTTAAACAAATCAAATTAACAAAGATTAAGACGAAGAAGAAGAAGAAGAAAGTACTTTGCAATATCATCACATACACATGCGCACGCACACACACACATGCATACACGCACATACATGGATACATATTTCTTTTGATTATTGTTCTGGAAAAAAAACCGGAAAACATAAATTCCAAAGGAATGCATGTAGTGTTATGAATATGTAGTGTTGTATGTTTCATACTCCGCATATGTATATATACACATATATATACTACTAATAATGTCATAATGACATAATTCCATATCATAATGTAATACTAAAGTGGTTAAAACTGAATTCTAACTTTATAACGATGCATTTTTCTCACTATACATTTTATAAATAGTTTATTGTTACTACAAGTAATTGTCATCGTAATAGTAGTAGGAGTAGGAGTAGTAGTGTAAGTAGTATGAGTATTATGAGTAGTATAATAAGTAGTAAATAGTAATCATGTTCAAGTTAAATCTTTACACTATATAATGTATGTATAGTTAACTAATAAAAGTGTCATTCAAAGAAAAAAAAATTTTAAAAAAAGAGAAAGAAAAATTCTTTTTCTTGGAATTTTTTTTCTTTTTTAAATATAGAACTATTTTGTTTCTATAAGAATTTTCTTTTTAAAAGTAAAAAAAAGAAAAAGAAAAGCAAAACCGTAGATAATCATGTAAACGTTTTTTTTTTGTATTTTGTGTGTAGTCAAGTCTATTTGAAGGTGTACTATTACTACTAATACTACTACTACAACTACTGATACTGTCACTACTACCACTACTACTACAAGTTAGACAACCACTGAAAACCGGAGGGGGGCAATGTGAAGGTTTACTACTACTACTACAACTACTGATACTGTCACTACTACTACTACTACTATTACAAGTTAGACAACTACCGAAAACTGGAAGGGGGACTATGCAGGTGTAGAATAATGTTTTTTTTATATCTTTACCTTATTCTATTCAAGATGAAATGATAAATAGTTTGTTTGTTTTTTTATTAGAATAGATTAGAAACAGATTATGAAATGAACAAAGATGGATGGTGGATAGCAGTGGAATCCAAGATGCGTGTTTCGTCCTATATTCGGACTCTTCAGATGGATTTACTTGTATCTCAAATTTGATGTTCACTGCAAGATACAAATTCAGTACTGTTTGATTTAAATGCCATCATATTATCCATTTAGTTAATGAGTCCTGATAGTCACCAATATGGATAATCTTTCATAGTGTTTATTCATAACAACATTTTAGACAGTATAGGACTCGTTAGCTGAAGGTACTTCCACTGTTTACTATCATCTATCTTTTCTTATCATGTTTGTGACTTAAAGCAATATCAAGACAATCTATAAAGGTGTTGTAACGGGTGTGCGACTTGCAAGGTTTTGA